TAATCATTATTGTTATGACTGTGTTCGGGGCAGCGAAATCTCTTGTGAAATTGGCAATGATTGGCATATATAATGGGGTTAGCGCTCTGCTTGTGCACTGCCCACACACGCCACGCGTTCTCGATGCGCCACCGCCAACGAAGTGGTGATAGTTGTTCGCATGGACTGGGCTCCGGCCATTGTAATGTGGAATGTCCACCTGCTGACTAAGTTGACCGCGGTCACGTTGCTCGTTGGAGGAGGGCGACGCTCACGACTCGCATTTGACGCAAAAATCATCAAGCCCGCGACTCTGTGAGCCAGCGGCAGCAGAAGAAGCAGCAGAAGCAGCAGCAGCCGAAGCAGCAGCAGCCGAAGCAGCAGCAGCAGCAGTCGTAGCAAAAGCAGCAGCAGCAGCAGAAGCAGCAGCAGCAGAAGCAGCAGCAGCAGAAGCAGCAGCAGCGGCAGCAGCAGCAGAAGCAGCAGCAGCAGAAGCAGCAGCAGAAGCAGCAGCAGCGGCAGCAGAAGCAGAAGCAGCAGCAGCAGAAGCAGCAGCAGAAGCAGCAGCAGCGGCAGCAGCAGCGGCAGCAGAAGCAGCAGCAGCAGAAGCAGCAGCAGCAGAAGCAGAAGCAGCAGCAGCAGAAGCAGCAGCGGCAGCAGAAGCAGCAGCAGCAGAAGCAGAAGCAGCAGCAGCAGAAGCAGCAGCAGCAGAAGCAGCAGCAGCAGCAGCAGCAGAAGCAGCAGCAGCAGCAGTCGTAGCAGAAGCAGCAGCAGCAGAAGCAGCAGAAGCAGCAGAAGCAGCAGCAGAAGCAGCAGCAGAAGCAGCAGTAGCAGCAGCAGCAGAAGCAGCAGCAGAAGCAGCAGCAGCAGAAGCGGCGCCCTGATGTTGTCCCCAATCTCGCGGGCGAGCGGAGAGTGACTCGGAACGAGGTCGTGACGCTCTATGAGGCACGGGGTGTGGACGTCGGGCAGAGCGGCACTCGTTTGGGGGTCAGCGCGGAGTTCCACGTGGCCCGAGTCGCGCGCTCACACGAAGCAGTTCAACACAACTCTCGGTACACAGCGAACCGAGTAATTCGCCTCGCGTGGAGTGTGACGCTAAAGCCAACGGAGAGTTGGAGAAGACTTATTAATTGTCACAAACGCGTAAAGATAGTGCGCCAAACAACGCCGTGTCAACGGACACCAAAACACAACACTCGCCACGTACGTCAATCTGCCAAGGGAGAGAACTAGATACAACAGGTGACGTTTCGGACATTGGACCGTCTTCACGCTGTTGAGTGTTTTCTTGTTCTGCGCTTCTGCCAACGTAATTCAACGAACAGGACCGTGTCATGCAGTGCTCATCATCACCATCATCGCCCTCCGTGAACGATCCACTGCTGGATGAAAACCTCACCAAGCCGTCGCCAGACGCAAACAATCCATTGCCACGCGATCTCTGATTTTTGTCGCTCCATCTCTTTGTCTGACCCCCCCCGCCACCGTTCAGCTTTGATGAGCTGCGATGCGACGCTTCAAGCCACGATGCGTCCTCGCCAGAGCCCCGAGACGATGCCACGGTGTGTGAAGCTGCGGTCTCTGATCCGCGTGCCCCTCTCGCAGTCTCCCAGTGTCGCGAACATCGCCAAGGACGCAGCAGCAGCAGCTCCCACGGCCTCATCCCTTGTGCGCGCGTCTGACTGCGCTGCTGCTGTTGCTGCTGATCACGATCACGACGAGTGTTTGACTGCGGAGCAGCGTGCCGCTTGTTATTAACGCAGCGCTTGAACGTGAAACACAAGGCAACTGATATATACACACACACACACATATGTACGATTGTTATTAAGTGTTTCTTTTTAGCGTTGGTTCGTTTAATTTCATGGACATTAAGCCCGTTATAAGTCCCACTTTCAACAAGTACTGTATATGTATACGCATTGAGTCGGTCCATGATGATGGACTTAGCCCGACCAGCCATCACCAATCCACTGCTGGATGAAAGCCACCTCCTCGCGGTGCTTGCAATACAACGAGCGCGCTGCCCACACCACGATCCTGCCGCTCCGTCTCCGCGGGGTTGGTGCCCCGGAGCGCGTCCCCTGCCCAGGGCGCCACTCCACTCGGTCGCTCTTCTCAGAGCGCCGCTGCTGCCATGGTGCCCCCCCCCCCCCCCCCCACTGCTCGCGATGTGGGGGAGCCTCTTGCTCAACTCCGCTCTCGGGCAACGTAAACGGCTCGCCGTGACGGCGGTAGACGGCAGGCGCCACCTTCTTTCTGCTCAGAATCGGGATCGTTATTTAGACCTGGAGGAATCCGATGAGCTGTGAAGCTCTTTGCTCACAGGTGGCACTCGACACGGCGCACACATCGCCCGTAAGAGGCAGCGGGAGCGGTGGCGCAGGTGGTTAGCGCACTGCGCCGTGAGCTCCGGCGACCTGAGTGTGACTCCCGCTCGCGGATGTCTGACCGGTCCACGTGACCCCAACACTCTTCACCAACCCCGCACTGACACCAGCGTGGTGAAGTATGGTCAAACAACGCCACGCGACCGATACGACACTGGGGGAGGTGATCATCCAGTAGTGGATTGACAAAGGGGTTTTTGTCGGTTTTCGTGCGATGTACACACACACACACGTTCCACTACGATGATTATTATGATACGATACGCACTCCGTTAAGAAAACGTTGAGATCACAGTTGCGTATGAGCACGCGTGTCACACGGACCGCCATACAAACGTGAGCGCCGTTGTGAAGAACCTGAAGCCACGACACCACGAATACTCAAGGCGATCCCTCGCTTTCGCATCTCGAAGAATCGACAGTAGTTTTACTTTAGATATTATCTATCGATCTATCTACAATTGGGCTTGTACAGGAGGTACATTTGCAGCAGCATCATCATCATGAGCCCCATCAGCACGATCCGTCCGGTGCCGTGCGCGGCTTCCCAAGCGGCCCCGAGGGACTTTCACCTCCAACGACAAAAACACCACGAGCAGAGGGGGGGGGGGGAGATGAAAACACCCCATCCGGGATTAGATAAATAAATAACGAAGGAGCAGAGGAATAAAAGGGCAGGCGCTGAATGATGTTGAGGGGAGAGAGAGAGAGGATGCGGGTGCGGTGTGCGTGCGTGTAATTGACTCTGGAGATTCGCCCTGATTGGGTTCGAGGTGTGGGCTGGAGGAGGAGGAGGAAGGGGAGGGGAGGGGGTGGCGCGTGGATGTTCGGGGTGACGAGGAGAGGGGAACGGTGGGGGAACGGTGGGTGGACGGGCAGGGTGGGTGGGTGGACGGGCAGGGTGGGTGGACGGGCAGGGTGGGTGGGTGGGTAGACGGGCACGGTGGGTGGACGGCCAGGGTGGGTGGGTGGGTGGGTGGACGGGCAGGGTGGGTGGGTAGTGGGTGGGTGGTGGGTGGATGTGTGGGAGGTGGTTGCTGGACCATCTGAAGGCTTTCCCAACTCCAAACACCCCCCTCCATTCCCACCTCCCTCTCCCGCCCCTCTCCCGCCCCTCTCTCGCTCTCTCTCTCTCACTCTTTAGCCCAGACACGGACTCGTCATCTTCTTTAGAAACTCATTAAAGAACATCACGCGAGCACGCCTGTCACTGCGTGACAACTCCATTCCAATCTCCGACCACGTCTCCCTTCAATAGAGATACAGAGAGAGAGACGCCCTCTTATCAACATCATCATCAACATCATCATCATCATCTGTGCCGCGTGACGGTTAAGCGACGGCACGCCAGGTATGTCCGCTCTTGAATCATTAATCAACTAATTGCGCGCGGACTGAAGTTGCGTGATGCTGCTTTGTGCAGTGATTGACAGATCTCTGTGATGCACGCGCTCGTCGAAGATGTTAAACATTTTTTTTAAATTCATGATCGTCATCATCGTGGCTCAAGCTCGCGTGGAATCCGCGTGTGATTATTGACTTGACGAGAATAATTCGCGACAAAGACGCTCGAGTGTGATTGATGATGGAGTATATTTGTGTTTCAGAAACGCCGATATAAGTAAGAATGTTCGCTCACGCAGTGACGAAGATCGTGACTTGTATTTAACTCAGCGCGTTCTCGACTTAATGTGCGTACGCCCGCTGGTGATATTCACTCGCACGCTTCAATGTTCAAGTGAACGCTCGGTATTAATTTGACCGTTTGACCATCGCCTGTTCATTATTCCTTGCCCCGGTGAGTGAATTCACTCCGTTTCGCGTCAGTGTCTCGCTCACTCGACTATCCTAACGATAACAACTACACAGAGTAACGCCACGCACATAATCAAGGAGGTTCCTGGACATCAAATCACCCTTTTGCGCGTGCCGTATTCCTCGACACACTGCTTGAGGAGGCCCTCACCCAGCAGTGGATTGACCACGGCTCATAGCGACAATGCCGACTCCTCTTATTTGCCCGCAGCCTGCACGCGCTCTCCTCCTGTCTGGTGAGTTCCTCACCAATTCACAGCGAGAGAGAGAGATGGGGCGCTCTTTCCTTCTGTAGGATGATTCCTTCTGTAGGATGATTCCTTCTGTAGGATGATTCCTTCTGTAGGATGATTCCTTCTGTAGGATGATTCCTTCTGTAGGATGATTCCTTCTGTAGGATGATTCCTTCTGTAGGATGGTTCCTTCTGTAGGATGGTTCCTACAGAGCCTCCACGCGGACATCCGTAAGGCGCTCGTGCCGCCCGTCTCGTGATAACGGCCTCGTCTGGACACCTGTCGGGGGGGGGGGTAAAAAGAGCTTTACAGCTCATCGGATTCCTCCCAGTATCAATAAATATCCTGACTGTGTCTCCTGTGCCGCTCGCTGTCTCCGTGCCAAGCGGAGCCGTGACCCGCAGCGCCCTCCGCTTTGCGCACGGGAGGTCAAGTGGAGGAAGCGCTTCGCGCGGCGTCGAGGAGGAGGAGGAGTAGAGGTGGCCGAGCCAGCGGCCAGCGGCCAGCCGCGTCCACGCTGCGGCCCCGTCCACCTCCCCTGGCACGCGGCGGGCGGGCAGCTCAGCGGGGCCCTCAGCCATGGCCAACAACAACAAAGCGCTCACCTTCTCCATCGAACGGATCATGGCGGACACTTCGGACGCGGCCTCGAAGCTGCCCGCGGGGCCCCTGGCGCCACCCTTGCCCTGCGCCTTCCCCGCGGGGTGCGCCGCCTGCCCCGACCTGTGGAAGTACGCGGCGCCGGGCGGCAAGCACCACGACAACAGCCACCACCAGCACCACCACCCCCACCAGCACCACCAGCACCAGCAGCAGCCGTACGCGTCCTGCGGGCCCGTGTGTCTGTCTGGTGGGAAGCTCCTCGCCAGGGCCGGCTCGCTTGTGGATCACGCGTTGCAGTGCGCCAACGGCCAGCAGCACGGCACCACCACCACCACCAACAGCAACCACGACCACCATCACCACCACCACCAGGTGGTGCGCCCAGCCTTTGTGGAGCACCTGCAGCACCTGCAGCACACGGCGAGGACGTTCTACGCCCTCAACTCGTGCTTCGCGCAGCACGCCAAGGCATCCCCCGTGCCGCAGAGCCCCGCGGGGCCACGCGGGGCTCGCCTCGGCTCCACGGCAGCGCCGCTCGCAGCGGCCGACGCCACCAGAGCCTTGGAGGTTCAGACGAAAGTCCAACAACAGCAGCAACAACAACAACATCACCACCACCAGCACCACCAGCAGCAGCAGCATCACAACCATCATCATCATCAGCAGCAGCAAAAGCAGCAGCAGCATCAGCATCGAGAGTGGGTGGAGAAGCCCAAGGCTCACGGAGCCAAAGAGGAGATCCAGACTGGAGGCGACAAGGCGCAGGCCCCCCCCGGATGCGAGTCGCTGTCGTGCGGGCCGCAGTCCCGGGGCGGGGGGCCCGGGAAGAGGCTCGCGTCTGGGGGGGCATTCGCCGGCGGCGGCGGCGGCGTCGTCGTCAGAAGCGTCTCGGGCAAGACGGAGTGTGGCAAGCCGAGCGGCGACAGGAACAAGCTGTTCGCGTGTGACCTCTGCGGCAAGGTAACAACGCGATGTGCGATCATCTCGCTCGGCATGGTGCTCGTCGTCGTTGTTGTTGATGTTGACGATGGTGAGAACCTCTCCTCCGTGGTAACAGCACAGGCCGGAAAGCCACGGGATTCAAATTCACCACCAACCACGTTCACCGTGTACTCTCATTCCGCGTACTCTCTCACCCCGTGTACCCTCACCACGTGTACTCTCACCCCGTGTACTCTCTCTCTGTGTACTTTCTCCCCGTGTACTCTCACCCCGTGTACTCTCACCACGTGTACTCTCACCCCGTGTACCCTCACCACGTGTACTCTCACCCCGTGTACCCTCACCCCGTGTACTCTCACCCCGTGTACTCACGGTCACAGAGGCGAAAGATGTGGAGATGAAACGTAACCAGTGACGGCAGCAGTGTTAGGGTGATCTAACTATTAACTAGTAACTAGCGGTAATGTAACTAGTAATCACAATCAACGTGTTTGGGTTAGATCGCGTTATTTATAAATGTGTCGTAACCCTCCACCACCCGACACGGCCAATCGGCAAAAAGTGTCACGTTGACAAAAGACAAATAGTTCACTGCTTTAGCCCCACACCGGTGTGTTGAAGAGTGAGACCACGACATTTACAGTTTTTGAGTAGTACGACGTTTTGCTGGTAATTGCATCCAGCATCATCGAGCAATTCGCAACTAATCATATTGGTCGCGAAAGCCGACGTGTTTAATGTCACTAGTAGTCTATTACGGTAATGTAAGTGGAAACTAGAGATGATTCGCAGGCATCCTACTCGTAACCAGACATGTATTTATGTAATTTAACAAGTAACTATAGATGTAGTAATGTCATGTGACCAGTGACGATAGGACGTGTTATTGTTACGTAATTAACGACAGACGCATTGAAACTACAAACAGCCTTGCAGCATTGTCGTGAGTTGTGTTTGTGTAGTAACTCGTTACTAGCAGACGCATTCTACAAATGTATTACAGAAATTCGGAGTGATCCATTTATCGATACCCTACCACAACAACAGGGAGACATTGTAAGTAGAACCAATATTTGGGATTGCTAATCCTCGACGCGTCTCCCACGATGCCAATGCGCTTGCTAAACCTCGCGACCCTCCTTTCTGTAGCCTGCGGGACCATCGCTCTCGCGGTATTCGTCACCCCTTGAGAAGAAAGTCAGAGAGACATTACATTATGAGTGGGGTATCTATAAATGGGTCAACCTCTGTATAATTGTAACAGTGAATTGGATATTTAATGTCACGACGACTAACGCCTCGCGTAGTCCTTCACACCCTAGCCGGTGATGTACTTGCTGTGCTGCGTCCAGTGCCTCTGCACCCCACAGGCTGCACGTGCTGTGTGTTGTTGCGTGTGTTGTGTTTGTGTGTTCGCAAGCCGCGTGTGACCTCCAGGCATGTATCCGTCTGTTAAGTTTTGCTACTTAGACTTGGGGGTGGCCCCAGGCTGTTAAAGTGACCTGCAAGAGCCTGCAACGACGTCGCTGCAGCCCGAGGCGGTGCCTTGAGAACGGCACATGCCGGTAGAGAGATACAGCTGCGTTTGTAGCTCCGCGTCGGGTTTCAAAGTGGACATCAGCCACGGTCGATCCGCTGCTGGATGAAGACTTTCCATCAATCTGAAAGTCGTAGGCGCTGACTCGTCGTAGAACTCGACGCGCAGTCGGAGACACGTGACGTGTCACACAGAGACACACGTGACGTGACACACAGTCAGAGACACACGTGGCGTGTCACACAGAGACACACACAGACACACACAGACACACACACACACACAGACACACACAGACACACACACAGACACAAACACAGACACCAACACACACACAGACACACACAGACACACACAGAGACACACAGAGACACACAGCCACACACACAGACACACATACACAGGCACACACAGACAGACACACACAGACACACAGACACACACACACAGAGACACACACACACACAGAGACACACACACACAACAACAACCGCCATTCGCCACTAAGTGGCGGTGACGTCACCACGACGCTTGTGCCAGGCCAAGTGCACCTTGAGGCCACGTGAAGTGTCGAACGCCCGCTGGCAGGAGGTCACGGGGCAGACCCAGGTGCCACGGGTCGACTGACCGAGATGACTGGCTGATGCACCACCTGTGCCCCCTACTGTACCAACTTGCCGTGCTTTAGCCACCCGGCGCTCCGCTCGTTGTTGTGAGCGTCGCTCCTCCGCCCTCCGTTGTTGTTGGAGGGCGACTGCCTCCAACTGCCCAGTAGCGTCCTTCACGAGCCTCCTCCACTGAGGCCGATCTTGACACCGCTGGTACCAGTCATCGGCAAGTCCACTCAGCTCCACGTCCTCCTGTACCACATCACTCCATCTCTTCTCTAGCCCGTGCCGCGCCCGTTTAGCCCCCTCGATACGGCCGAACAAAAGCTGTGTAGGCATGCGGTGGCTAGGCATGCGGGCTACATGACCCAGCCAACGCAGCTTTGCCTGTCGGAGGAGCTCACTGATGGGACTTTGCCCAGATCTTTCAAGGATTTGTGAGCTCCTCACACAATCCAGCCTGGTTAAACCCAGGATGGATCGTAGGCAGGCCAGCCTAAATGTTTCCAACACACACAGGCACACAGGCACACAGACACAGACACACAAACACAGACACACATACACAGACACACATACACACACAGACACACACAGACGAAGGCCCCCCGTGTAGCCTGTGACGGACTGTTGGGGCAAGTGCTGTTGGCGAGCAGCAGCTATGAAGGCCGGCACGGCACACACGAGGGGGCTGGGTGGTCAGCAACCACGCCCGGCCGCCTTTGTCTCCCAGTGACAACGTTATTACGCAGCGCGCACCGGGTACTCGTTTAGAGGCCGAGTCGACCTAGGGGGGGAGGCCCAGGACCGGTTCAGAGAATCGTCGCTGGGTGTTGGCCGTGAGCGGGAATCGAACTCGGGTCGCCGGGTTCATAGCGCTGACCGCTGTAAGACATAAACACATAAACACACGCAGACACGTGTTCGTCTACAACACGTGTTCGTCTACAACAGGTGCTCGCTAACAGCACTTGGGGTCGCTCTGCATGGCGCCGTTGAAGGCGATAGTTCAGTAGATGTTTGTCCTCTTGTGTTTATATCTGTGTGTGTACATTTACGTGCATGATATATGTCGGTGAAACAATATTTATCCGAGTTAAGTTTGCTCAAAGTCAGTTTATCACGAAAGATAATTGCATTTTGGTGTATACCCTACGTGCTGTTTATACATTATACTGCACCTACAATAGGTGTGATAACTCCTGCTATGATGCATTCGCATTGAGTGTTAAATCTGATTGTTATAATACGGATTGCGGTCCCTGCATCGATGTGTATATGTTGTATCACAATCAGGTGTGCGTACTATGTGTATATGACACGCTATGGGAGTATGACGAAGATGCTCTCACGCTAATTGTGAGAAGGCTAATTGGTGCTTGCCTTTGCAATTAATGTCACGCAATTGCGTGATTATCCCACAATACTCTCAGAAGCACCACCACCACCACCACCTCCACGTGTCTCATCGTCATTCGTTGGCCATGCTGCTCCCTGAACCGTGATATCACAAACAACAACAACAACAATATACAGCATATGTTTACTGCTGTGTAACATGTGCTGTATGTATACTGTCCGACGTTTTAGGCAATGGCTCTTCGTCTTCATAGCAGCGATGCGCTGCCAGTAAGGAAGTCAATCGACCATTCGTCGTCATTGCCGAGCGCGTCGACTTTGTTTGTTTTGTACGGGAATGTGGCTTTCGATACACTGGTGTTAATTTAACTATCATTCAGTAAATCTCTGTTTTGTACGGGAATGTTGCTTTCGATACACTGGTGTTAATTTAACTATCATTCAGTAAATCTCTGTTTTGTACGGGAATGTGGCTTTCGCTACACTGGTGTTCATTTAACTATCATTGAGTAAATCTCTGTTTTATACGGGAATGTGGCTTTCGATACATTGGTGTTCATTTAACTATCATTCAGTAAATCTCTGTTTTGTACGGGAATGTGGCTTTCGATACACTGGTGTTCATTTAACTATCATTCAGTAAATCTCTGTTTTGTACGGGAATGTGGCTTTCGATACACTGGTGTTCATTTAACTATCATTCAGTAAATCTCTGTTTTGTACGGGAATGTGGCTTTCGATACACTGGTGTTCATTTAACTATCATTCAGTAAATCTCGACATTAACAAAATACGCACGATCATGTTTCGATCAATACCAATTACGCATCACTCTACGTAATGCGCCAAATGCACATTATCCTAACAACGAAGTAGCACTTGCAAATATTACTCCCGAGTCATGTAATGCTCGTGGAGAGACTGATGTATATGTTGATACATACATCAGTGTGAATGTGGCATTGTGTGTGTGCATAGGTTATCATTTGTAGAGAGATCCTGTCAATAGGCTCTGTTTCAGCAAAGTATTTACCGCGTTTCGTATTCAAAGTCAATGTGTAAAAAATATATACACATACTGAAACAATATAGAGGAATTATACATATTCTTCAATTTCCGTTCCTCGAATGTTTACTAAACCATCGTTGTTTAACAACCGCTGATGAAACACATCACACGATCTTAACCATAACAACAATAAACTCACCACGTGATGTACACAATGATAACCCGCAGACAGAAATAACTTGACTACGATGCTCCCACTGAAGTCGAACTCGCTCGTCGCCTTCACTGAACCAGTGTGGTGAAGTATGGTGAAATACCCCCCTCCTCCTCCCCCACTCGGGGTGAGGGAGGCCATCATCCAGCAGTGGATTTGCCCAAAGGGCTGCACGAGGGTGAAGTCTGTCGACCACGTGTCCCGTCCCCGGCATCACGTGGCCACATGCGGTAGGCGGACATTGCTGCTCGTGGTGGTGGGGGTGCAGGACCTGGGCCTCCCCTAGGTGGACTCAGCCTCAAACGAGTACCTGGTGCCACTGGGGAGACAAAGGCGGCCAGGCGTGTTGCTGGCCACCCACCCCCTCGTGTGCCATGCCGGCCTTCATAGGTGCTCGCTAACAGCACTTGCCCCAACAGTCTGTTCAGCCTATACGGGGGATCTTTGTCTTTGGTGAAGTGTAACGTTAACGCTGATAAGAGGGATGTTTACCCGTGAACGTGCACACTCACCGAGTTCACTTGAGGAGCTGTCACCGAGCCGCGATCCATCTACCGTCAGCCTTCAAGCTGTGAACAGGCATTGTGTAGCTACTCACTACACACACACACCTGGGTGTTCACAGTGTGTAGCTACTCACTACACACACACACACCTGGGTGTTCACAGCGTGCGGCGTGTTACCTGTGAACACACCTGGGTATTGACAGTGTGCAGCGCGTTACCCGTGAACACACCTGGGTATTCAACGACAACAATAATGACATCGACAACAATAATAACAACGACGACGACATTGACAACAACGACACCGACGACAACACGTGGGATGGGAGAGACGTTGTCGTGGAAGTGGCAAAGGGGCCACACACACGCACACAGTGTGCCCCAACAGTCTGTTAAAGGCCATATGGGGGTGGGTGGTATTTGGTATTGGCGTGTACCCCGTGCGTGTCCTCACCATTGTGGTAGTGTCATGGTCAGCGCGCTGGCGCCACGAACCCAGCGCTTGCACCCGACTCAAGAGCCGAATGGCTCACCGGGCTGTACCCTGTCTCAAGGCTACTCGGGGGATCTTTGTCTCTGTGTGACGCGCGCAGGTGTTCAGCGCGCAGTACAACCTCACGAGGCACATGCCCGTGCACACGGGCGCGCGCCCCTTCGTGTGCAAGGTGTGCGGCAAGGGCTTCCGCCAGGCGAGCACGCTGTGCCGACACAAGATCATCCACACACAGGTGCGCGCCGTGACGTGTGTGTTTCAGTGTGTGTGTGTCACATTGTGTGTGTTTGTGTCAGTGTGTGTGTCAGTGTGTGTTTTGTCTTTATCTGAACCGGTTCTGGGCCTCCCCTAGGTCGACTCAACCTGAAATGAGTATCTAGTGCGGTGTGTAAACATCGCCACTGGGAAGACAAAGGCGGCCGGGCGTGGTGCTGGCCACCCACCCCCTCGTGTACCGTTCTGGCCTTCATCGGTGCTCGCTAACAGCGCTTGCCCCAACAGTCTGTTAAAGCTACACGGGGGATATTTGTCTTTGTGTGGGATGAGTGGTCGTGTCGTGGTTAGCGCGCTGCGCTTGGGCCGCTTTTTATCGGCTTCAGCGTCACGCTCCGAATAAAATTGAGCGCCCTTCAATAGCTGCAGACACGAAGCGAGAATAATTAAACATATCACTCGTCATAATGTGGCGTTTGAATGTCTCTACGTTGCGAGATGTTAACTACCTCCCTGATATACAGAAGGTCATGGGTTCTCTCTCCCCGTGGCCGCGTGGATTTTTCTCCGGGTCCTCTGGTTTCCCCCTCCACATTTCGAATCAACGTCACGCGCGTTTAGAGTGTTTGGCTGCTTTAAATTTCCACGCGATGATGATGATGAGCCACTTCGTTGGGCTTTCATTTGTGAGTGCCAGGTCGCTTCTGATTAAAGAGTCGCCGTATAGCTCAGTGGGCCTTAGCTGGTGAAAATTAAACAATTGGTTGAGTTTAGAATTGACCGCGTGTGTTCTTCACGTCGACGTCTGGAGCCCCTCAATGGCACCGAGAGAGGCCACCGTGGGTCGCCACGTGCTCACCACGTGGTGGGTAGCCACGTGGTGAGTTGCCACGTGGTGGGTAGTCACCGTGGGTGGTCACGTGGTGGGTGGTCACGTGGTGGGTTGCCACGTGGTGGGTTGCCACGTGGTGGGTTGCCACGTGGTGGGTTGCCACGTGGTGGGTTGCCACGTGGTGGGTAGCCACGTGGTGGGTAGCCACGTGGTGGGTCGCTGGCTCACGGGCCGGGCAGCGTCGGATGCCCCACACGGGGTCGGTCGCTCTCGCCCGGACGCGACGAGATGAGGGAATTCTGAACATGTTTAACAAACGCATGTTTAAACACATTGTTTTATTTAACTATAATTCATTTCATGTATTCATATAAAATAAAAGTGTATGTTTTATATACTTAATTATAATCGTTATGTACTTTTAAAGGCTATAAGCATAGTAGGATATGCTGATTATTTAACCAACACATGTTTTACACTTACCTTTTTTTTTACTTAACTAAATCATTTACATGTATTCGTGTAAATGAAAGTAATTTTAATCATGTTGTTACAATCGCAATAGATTCTGAGAGGCTAAGCATTACATGAAAAATCGAGTGTTTCCATCCCACCCTTCGCCTCCTCAACACGACGAGTGACACATGGCACGGGGCAGCGAGGAGGGGGGGGGGCTCCGCTGCAGAGGTCACCCGCTGTGGATCGAGACTTGAACTCGAGTCGTCGTCGTGTCCAGCGTCTCGACGCTAACCACAGCGGCGTCACCCGCCTCCACGCGAGCATATTAGCGAGCACGTATCAACGGCGCGACACACACACACACGAACAAGTGAAATACGTGATACATTTAGAAAGGTTGCCTACTCGAAGCGTCGGGATGTTCATGTCTTCTTACGGCGGCAGCTCCACATCGCGTTGTGAGGGTAGAGCCCAGCGTGTCACACGCTGGCAGCAAGCAAGTGCTGTGAGTGATCACAAGCACACAGCGGCGAAGATCCCCCGTGTAGCCTCAACAGACTGTTGGGGCAAGTGCTGTTAGCGAGCAGCACCTACGAAGGCTACCGGCGCTGTGGCAGCACCACGCCCGGCCGCCTTTGTCTCCCTCGTGACGATGTTCACAGACCACAGTAGGTGCGCATTTCAGGCTGAGTCAACCTAGGGTAGGCTCAGGACCGGTTCAAATAAGCGGCTTTTATTGATCGTGATCGGGAATTGAACTCGGGTGGCCGGGTTCGTAGCGCAGTGTACGAACCATTGCGTGTCCAGTACGATATACAGCACACATATACATAGTACACACACACACGTGTACACATATACTTACAGCACACACATATAGATAGTACACATACATACAGCGCACACACACGTGTACACATACATACAGCACACACACGTGCACACATATACATACAGCACACACACACGTACACATACATACAGCACACACACGTGTACACATATACATACAGCACACACACACGTACACATACATACAGCACACACACGTGTACACATATACATACAGCACACATACACGTACACATACATACAGCACACACACACGTGTACACATATACATAGTACCCACACACATACACGTGCACACATATACATAGTACATACACACGTGTACACATATATACATAGTACACACACGTGTACACATATACATACAGCAAACACGTGTACACATATACATACAGCACACACACGCGTGTACAGCACACACACACGTGTACACATATACATACAGCACACACACACATGTGTACACACACACGTGTTCACACACATGTACACACACACGTGTACACACACACACGTGTACGCGTGCGTCAGTGTCGCAGCGTGTCGCTGGTTCAATAAATGACCCCCCCACTCCCCCTAACTACGTAGCCCGCCCCAGGCCCCCCCCCCCGACCCCCCCGGGGCCGATGCAGCTCCGCCGCCTGCACACTCCGCAGCTAAGCGACTGGCATCCGCACAGATACTGCCAAAAATAAAGACAAAGGTCCCCTGCGTAGCCTACATAGACTGTAGGGGCAAGTGCTGTTAGTGAGCAGCACCTATGAAGGCCGACACGGCACACGAGGGGGTGGGTGGTCAGCACCACTCCCGACCGCCTTTGTCTCCCCAGTGGCGATGTTTGCACACCGCACCAGCTACTCTCATTTGATGCTGAGTCGATGTACACAGCCACACGCAGACATGCGTAGGAAGATTTAAAGCTTTCGTGATTCATATTCTTGGTTCTTTCGGTAAAGTCACGTAGAAGGGAAATCATAAAATAATAAAAATAAAACATATTAAGATAAAATTCTCACGACGTTTCGGCCACAACGCAAGCAGCCGTCCTCAGGTGAAGAACAGGGCTATCGGAAAGACAGCGTCTTGTGGCCGAAACGTCGTGAGAATTTTATCTCATTCTGTTTATTATTTATAATTGTATTATTTCCCTTCTACGTGACTTTACCGAAAGAACCAAGACTATGCGTAGGAAGATTCACACATTCAGACGCATGCCTCTAAATGTGTGTTAGCGAGCGCCTCTCACCACCACTCCGATACAACTCGCAGGGGAGGGGGGTGGCGCAGTGGTGAGCGCACTGCGTGAAGTACGAACAGCGGGGACCTGAGTGCCACTCCCGGGACACGGCTAACATCAGTGGCAGCGAGTGGTGTCTGAGCCCGTCCTGCCACTCCCACCAACCCGCATTGACCAGCGGGGTGAAGTATGGTTAGAACAACCCCCGGTCATCCAGCAGTGGATTGTCCACGTCTGACGATGAGTGGATTTCGTTACGACAGACTGCAACAGTTTGTGATAAATTAATAAAAGCTCACACGATCTCCCCACCGGCGTAGCGTGCGCGTGTTGGTGTGAATCACGCGGTGGGGTGGCGGTGATGGCGCTGCGCTACGGATCCTGGCGACCCGAGTTCGATCCACAGCCCCCAGCGCCAGTGACGATTCTCCGGACCGGTTCTGGGTCTCATCCCCCAGGTCTATTCGGCCGCACATCAAGTACGCGGTGCAGCTATGTAAACATCAGCACTGGGGAGACAAAGGCGTCCGGGTTGTCCACACCAACCCCGCTCGTGTGCAGTCCCGGCCTCTCTCGGCGCACGTGGACAGCACTTGCCATGACGATGTGTGCAAGGCTGGAGCGGGCATATTTCTCTGTTACATTAATTGGCAACGTATTTTTAGCCCAACCTGAAGCAAACATTAATGAGTCAACTTTGCTGCGACGCACAGCGCACGATGAGCGGTGGTGTAATTGATTGCTCACAGCCGAGATGCAGCTTGCACATTATCTAGGAAGGAACCGCGCCTAATGTTTGGAATTTACGAACCTCGCATTCAGCAGCGAAGTCACGCTTTTCCTGAGTAAGATGCGAGTGAGACGTGAGAGAGTCGGTGTACATGGTGTGTGCGTGTGTGTCTTCGTTAACTATCGCCACTGGGGAGTCAAATGCGGCCGAGCGTGATGCCGGCCTTCATAGGTGCTGCTACTCGCTGGCAGCACTTGCCCGCAACAGCGTGTCAAGGCTACACGGGGGATCTTTGTCTTGTCTCTCTCTGTCTGTGTCGGCGTGTGAAGGAAAAGCCACACAAGTGTCAGCACTGCGGCAAGGCCTTCAACAGGAGCTCCACGCTCAACACGCACATCCGCATCCACTCGGGGTACAAGCCCTTCGTGTGCGAGTTCTGCGGAAAGGGCTTCCATCAGAAAGGTGAGTTCCGTCTCCGCCTCCACCTCCTCCGCCACCTCCTCCACCTCCTCCACCACCTCCTCCACCTCCTCCACCACCTCCACCACCTCCACCTCCTCCACCACCTCCACCTCCTCCGCCACCTCCTCCGGGTCGGAGGTGCAGGGGCAGCTAGAAGGCGGCCGGGAGGGGCTCCATCAACAGTTGCCCCGCGCTCTGCGGTCCTACATTGGGCTGCTTGGTCACCCCACGGAGTGAGCGTTGTGTACCACGTGGCAGGGGAAAAATCCACGCGTACGACGGGGCCTGGGAGGGTAACATTCTGTCGCCGTGCAGATGGAAACAGATGGAGATTAATCCCACTATCTGTACACTACTGCCATCTCCTGGCCGTGAGATGACAGTACAGTAGTTTACAGTACAGTATTTTACCACACTGGTCGGCAGCGGCTCAAAACACCGCCAGCAACGCGGCGGTGGCGGATCGCTTGAGGTCATTGTGAGGTCATCGTGAGGTCATCGTCAGGTCATTGTGAGGTCATTGTGAGGTCATCTCGCGTCTCGCCCGGAGGGGGACCTCGACGTCATCCGCGCAATGGGGTCCGGGGGTGCTTACCCCCCCCCCCCCAGTGTCCACCCCCTCCAGTGTCCACCCCCTCCAGTGTCCCCCCTCCCCCCCCCCAGTGTCCACCCCCTCCCCCCCCCACAGGGGGAGCACTGTGTGTATGGGGGGGGGGTGCTAGTTCACCAGTGCTCCTGTATATGGGGAGGAGGGGGAGCGGTGGCGCAGTGGTTAGCACATTGTGTGTGTAGGGAGCGGTGGCGCAGTGGTTAGCACATTGTGTGTGTGAGTGTGGGGAGCGGTGGTGCAGCGGTTAGCACATTGTGTGTGTGAGTGTAGGGAGCGGTGGTGCAGTGGTTAGCACATTGTGTGTGTGTGAGTGTAGGGAGCGGTGGCGCAGTGGTTAGCACATTGTGTGTGTGAGTGTGGGGAGCGGTGGTGCAGCGGTTAGCACATTGTGTGTGTGAGTGTGGGGAGTGGTGGTGCAGCGGTTAGCACATTGTGTGTGTGAGTGTAGGGAGCGGTGGCGCAGTGGTTAGCACATTGTGTGTGTGAGTGTGGGGAGCGGTGGTGCAGCGGTTAGCACTTTGTGTGTGTGAGTGTGGGAAGCGGTGGTGCAGTGGTTATCACATTGTGTGTGTGAGTGTGGGAAGCGGTGGTGCAGTGGTTACACATTGTGTGTGTGAGTGTGGGGAGCGGTGGTGCAGCGGTTAGCACTTTGTGTGTGTGAGTGTGGGAAGCGGTGGTGCAGTGGTTAGCACATTGTGTGTGTGAGTGTGGGAAGCGGTGGTGCAGTGGTTACACATTGTGTGTGTGAGTGTGGGGAGCGGTGGTGCAGCGGTTAGCACATTGTGTGTGTGAGTGTGGGAAGCGGTGGTGCAGCGGTTAGCACATTGTGTGTGTGAGTGTGGGAAGCGGTGGTGCAGTGGTTACACATTGTGTGTGTGAGTGTGGGGAGCGGTGGTGCAGCGGTTAGCACATTGTGTGTGTGAGTGTGGGAAGCGGTGGTGCAGCGGTTAGCACATTGTGTGTGTGAGTGTGGGAAGCGGTGGTGCAGCGGTTAGCACATTGTGTGTGTGAGTGTGGGGAGCGGTGGTGCAGCGGTTAGCACATTGTGTGTGTGAGTGTGGGGAGCGGTGGTGCAGTGGTTAGCACATTGTGTGTGTGTGAGTGTAGGGAGCGGTGGCGCAGTGGTTAGCACATTGTGTGTGTGAGTGTGGGGAGCGGTGGTGCAGCGGTTAGCACATTGTGTGTGTGAGTGTGGGGAGTGGTGGTGCAGCGGTTAGCACATTGTGTGTGTGAGTGTAGGGAGCGGTGGCGCAGTGGTTAGCACATTGTGTGTGTGAGTGTGGGGAGCGGTGGTGCAGCGGTTAGCACTTTGTGTGTGTGAGTGTGGGAAGCGGTGGTGCAGTGGTTATCACATTGTGTGTGTGAGTGTGGGAAGCGGTGGTGCAGTGGTTACACATTGTGTGTGTGAGTGTGGGGAGCGGTGGTGCAGCGGTTAGCACTTTGTGTGTGTGAGTGTGGGAAGCGGTGGTGCAGTGGTTAGCACATTGTGTGTGTGAGTGTGGGAAGCGGTGGTGCAGTGGTTACACATTGTGTGTGTGAGTGTGGGGAGCGGTGGTGCAGCGGTTAGCACATTGTGTGTGTGAGTGTGGGAAGCGGTGGTGCAGCGGTTAGCACATTGTGTGTGTGAGTGTGGGAAGCGGTGGTGCAGTGGTTACACATTGTGTGTGTGAGTGTGGGGAGCGGTGGTGCAGCGGTTAGCACATTGTGTGTGTGAGTGTGGGGAGCGGTGGTGCAGCGGTTAGCACATTGTGTGTGTGAGTGTGGGAAGCGGTGGTGCAGCGGTTAGCACATTGTGTGTGTGAGTGTGGGGAGCGGTGGTGCAGCGGTTAGCACATTGTGTGTGTGAGTGTGGGAAGCGGTGGTGCAGCGGTTAGCACATTGTGTGTGTGAGTGTGGGGAGCGGTGGTGCAGTGGTTAGCACATTGTGTGTGTGAGTGTGGGGAGCGGTGGTGCAGCGGTTAGCACATTGTGTGTGTGAGTGTGGGAAGCGGTGGTGCAGTGGTTAGCACATTGTGTGTGTGAGTGTGGGGAGCGGTGGTGCAGCGGTTAGCACATTGTGTGTGTGAGTGTGGGAAGCGGTGGTGCAGCGGTTAGCACTTTGTGTGTGTGAGTGTGGGGAGTGGTGGTGCAGTGGTTAGCACATTGTGTGTGTGGAGAGCGGTGGCGCAGCATCGGCGATTGTCAGTGGCGAGCGACGTGCGAGACCAGTGTGGTGAAGTATGGCCGAGCATTGAGCAGTGTTCACCGCCAGGAGGCGGCGTGGCGGTGATGGGGGGGGGAGGGTGCCTTCACCCAGCCTTGGGATTGACACAGCGATGGAGTAGCTCACGATCCGCTTAAAGGGGCATTCCAATTGCACGCGCTCCCCATTGAAGCGCCTGAGCGCTCCTCTCCTTGACAAAGGCAAAGCAGTCCCGGGAGACGAGTCTCGTTTACCACTCAGCCAACGCAATGAGGTTATGGAAGGCTCCTGGAGACACTCACCGCCTCGACACGTTACACACCCTCGTGAGAATTCGGAAGCGACGCGAGGTTTCGTCTGCTCGGCACCTCCTGGGCGGGAGACGGCTGCCCGCACGGCCTACAGCTGGCGGGGCAGAATTGAGCTGCGAGGTGGCCAGAAGAGAGCAGCCCAGCAATGGATCCTTGAGGTTTGAGCGTTCCTCCAACGCGTGGTGGGTCTGCTCCGGGCACTTTGTTTCCCTTGCACAATGAAGCCATGAATTAGTCATTAAACGTGACATTGGCCCAAGAGCCCTATTGTAATCGACAGTCGATATCAAATCCATAGCGATCAATCGTTGTCATTAGGTCCATTGGAATCACGCGGTGAAGGGAATTGCGACTCTCAAACGCGAGCAGCGTTTCCCTTCTCGTATGTGTACATACAGACATCGTATGTATACATACAGACATTGTATGTATACATACAGACACCGTACGTGTACATACAGACACCGTACGTGTACATACAGACACCGTACGTGTTCATACAGACACCGTATGTGTACATACAGACACCGTATGTGTACATACAGACACCGTATGTGTACATACAGACACCGTATGTGTACATACAGATATCGTATGTGTACATACAGACACCGTATGTGTACATACAGACACCGTACGTGTTCATACAGACACCGTATGTGTACATACAGACACCGTATGTGTACATACAGACACCGTACGTGTACATACAGACACCGTACGTGTTCATACAGACACCGTATGTGTACATACAGACACCGTATGTGTACATACAGACATCGTATGTGTACATACAGACATCGTATGTGTACATACAGACACCGTATGTGTACATACAGATATCGTATGTGTACATACAGACACCGTATGTGTACATACAGACACCGTATGTGTACGTACAGATACCGATCTGCATGCGCACGGCCCTGTGCCAATCCACTGCTGGATGTGTCGGTGTGCCCCGGGATGTAGCTACGACACGGCGATGTTGGTAGTATTGTTATTATTATTTACCATCTATATACTGTACACCTCAAACGAAGCTTCAAATCTATTATACTGGTAGGAACCTCCTGGTTACACCAGCCCACAGGGGATTATTGTGTCCGTCCGTCCGTCGTGCAGGGAGGGGCTGGGTGGGAGGGGCTGGGTGGGGAGGGTGGGGAGGGGCTGGGTGGGGAGAGTGGGGAGGGTGGGAAGGGGCTGGGTGGGGAGGGTGGGGAGGGGCTGGTCACCCCGTGGTGCCCTTCTAAAACTCAACGTTTAACCTACTCACGTCGGCTTGTGCCCGCCCTCACAGTCGGGCAAATTTGCGGAATACACCACGCCGCCGTTGACCCTGGCCATTGACCGAGCAACCCAACGTTCCTACCAGCTCCCTCCGCAGGAATGTGTTAAGACCAGAAGCGGCTGTGGGATGGAATGTTTGGGTCGGACTGTCGGCAGTAGTGGGGGTGGTGGGGAGGTTGACAGAACAATGAATTACACCACGACCATCAGTCAGCCAGTGTCTATCGTCAGTCTGCACGTGCGGTCGCGTGCCTCCAGTTGCTGAGTCGTATGCCAGTGCGCGTTGCTGCCATCCTTCTCGTCTTCGCCACGACCAATCGGTCAGCCAGTGTCTAGTCCCATCGTCACCCACATCAGGCGCATGTCAATGTCAATCCCTATCCTTCATGTTGCTTCACCAAGCGGTGAGTCAAGAGGACAGGGAAAGGCGTCATTTAGACCACGGGAGCTGGGTCACCAAAACGACAGGAGTCGGGATACAATTTGTGTGTGCGTGGCTGTGTGTGTGTGTAGCTGTGTGTGTGTAGCTGTGTGTGTGTGTAGCTGTGTGTGAGTGTAGCTGTGTGAGTGTAGCTGTGTGTGTGGCTGTGTGTGTGCATGAACACGACCTCTAGCAGAATCAATTGGATTGGCGGAAACGTACCACGTGACCCAGGTATTAAATAGGGGTGGAGACGAACGACACGTGGTCAGAACGGGAACGAACAGAGGGGGGAGGCCACGCGGGAGCGGGGCTCCGAGTTGGCACGTGGCAGTGCGTCTCTCTCTCTATATCTGTCCCTTCACGCTGCCTAGCAGTAGCGTGGAGTAACTGTAAGATAAGTTGAATAAAAGACGAATTCCAGAAGTCGCCTCAACGAGCTTTATTACATTGGCACCGACTTTAGCCACGGGATGAAGAAGCGCTTGCACTGAACTCGAGCTCCAGTGATCTTCTTTCACGGCTGATCATGCTGGGCGTAATCCCCAGCGAAACGTCGAACCACATTGTGTGAACATGTTGTTGCTTCCTTTTCAACGTACAAGCGGGTTTGCTGGAAAACGAAACTCTATCGGCACTTGAGCCCTGTGTGTGTGACGACTTCATGTGTCGGCCGCGTCATTCAGCGGTCATTGACACCCTCTGACCCAGCTGTGGGTCAGAACTTCGCGTTTCGTATTTGTGAATTTATAATAAAAATTTGATTTTATATAACAGCATCGTTCATGCAAATTACATCTGAAAATGAATAATATAAAATCCTCTCCAACACACAACCGGCGTGCTGTACTAGTAACGAATTGGCATGTTCTGTTTACGGGACAAACCTTGATAACAAAAAAAGTAATTTGCCGTGTCGGGCGGTAGCGGGTTTAACGACACATTTATATATTTACGCAATCTAACCCAAAGAAACTTGTATTGTGGATATAAAATCCTACATAAGAACATTGCGAACCACATTACCAGTTTGTTGTCCTTCCCCCGCACCTCCGATGAGCACGGCTAACTACGTACGGCACGAAAGAAGTTCAACATAGTAGGAGACACAGCGCGAGACGGAGGGTGAACACAGGCATGCCATGGGTGTCAGAGCGACCGGAGACGCCTTGTAGGCGAGAGTCCACTCATTTTCAGAGGTGGGGCAGGGGGCACTTTTACCCACAAGACATCGCCAGCGTGAAGGCCGCCATACATTGCTCGAAACCATTGGGGGTTTGACAGAACGACAACGCTGGCGGGTGTCGTCACGTGCCGTGTGTTTTGTCGCGGGCCTTGCGGTGAGGAACGCTGCGGTAGGGCATCGTTCATTAACCCCCCGCCGTGTGCCTTGTCTCCCACCTACCTACCTGCCTCGCCGCTGCTGCGCTCGCTCCCAGGCAACTACAAGAACCACAAGCTGACGCACAGCGGCGACAAGCAGTTCAAGTGCAAGGTGTGCAGCAAGGCGTTCCACCAGGTGTACAACCTCACGTTCCACATGCACACGCACACGGAGACCAAGCCCTTCACGTGCTCCTTCTGCGGCAAGGGCTTCTGTCGCAACTTCGACCTGAAGAAGCACGTGCGGAAGCTGCACGATAGCACGTCGCACGCGCTCGCCACCATCGCCGCCGCCGCCGTCGCCGTCACGCCCGAGGAGCAGGACGATTCATCAGAATAATCCGAATCTTTATTTAGACGCTCGTCCAATGACGCGCACTTCCTCTTACAAATCATCACCGCCTCGAGCTTTCCCGGCTGGCTGCTGGCTGGGCTCTTGTCCATCCCAACACTCACTCGGTGGTTCGGGGCTGCTGCGAGCCGAAAGGGGTAACTGGCTGAACTGGAGACTTTTTTGAAACGTATTCTTCCGTGCGACAAATAAACATTGAGTTGAAACGGTGGAGGAAGATGCTCGGAGGACTTCTAATGGATCGCGACACCCACGAGGTGTGAGTAACGAAGACAGGAGACGGACGTGGTTAATTTAAACTTGCTCTAACTTTTCTAACTCCTATTTGTGTAATAATTTCGCCAGATTATTCTAAGAAATCACCGAGAATGTGGAAAACCCCCCCCCCCATCACAATACATATTATCTTACCATTGTACTACACTAGTAGATACTTTGAGCGCTCCGAGTACATGATTGTGAGAAGAGTGTGAAGACAACAACGGTGGCTCTCAAAACACCAATAAACTTAGTTATCCATAATACAGATTTTTGGGGTTGGATCGCGTAAATATATAAATGTGTCATTAAACCCTCCACCACCCGGCACAGCCAACTAGTAAGGGTTGTCACGTAAACAGAACGTGCCAATTCGTCACTAGTACAGCACTAGTGTATAGTGTAGTGTATAGTGTAGTGTATAGTAGTGTATAGTGTAGTATACTAGTACAGCATTAACCGGTGTGTTGGAGAGCCAAGCCACAACATTTACAATCTGAGTACGACGTTTCGCCAGTAATTACAACCAGCTTCATCAGGCGACAGCCAGAATTGCGACGAATTGTCACGTTTTGTTTACGTGACAACCCTTACTAGTTGGCTGTGTCGGATGGTGGCGGGTTTAACAACACATTTATATATTTATGCGCTCTAACCCAAAATACCTTGATTATATGGACATGTTAAACAAACGTGTTTACCCACGAGAGCCACACCGCGTTGGTTGGACACTTCTCGGAGGGCCTTGGCCACGTTGCATTATTTTGACCCGTTGTTTTATTTTGACCCGTTTTTTTTGACCCGTTTTATTTTGAACCATTGTGTTTTATCTTGACCCATCGTTTTATTTTGACCCATCGTTTTATTTTGACCCATTGTTTTATTTTGACCCGTTGTTTTAAGCCAATCGAAGAGTGTTCATGATAAGCGGGAGGAAACTGTAGCCACGAGGCAGCACTAGCGATGTCCGTCAGAGTCTGTCGGGAGCTTCACGAATGTGAGATCCACCAACCTTCGCTTCCTCTATCCACCAGTGGCGGGCTGGCCCATACCACTAGAGGGAGCGCTGGAGTTTGGCCTACTCTTCCACGCTTGGCAAACATCTTAGGAGGAGGTTGGGGGTAACCCACATTTGACCACGCCACACGTGACCTACAGATATAACTCGTCAAAAAGAGCAGCAAATTGTGTGCCGGCGTCATGCTCCACATTTGCGAAATTATAAAGTTATTGTTTTACAACGCAAATTACTTCAATTGGGATTACACGCGGCAGAAAACGTGGCCCGCTAGTGGCAGAATGATTGCCCACGTGCAGGCCCCGTGCACAGGTAGAGCTGCCAGTGGGGGTGCCCTTTGCATGGCTGGGATGGGATGCGATTTTAAAGGCGCAGGGCGGTGCCGAGTTGGTTTAAGCTCGCGCCATATAAACGCAAAGACGATGACGATTGTTGTTGTTTGTTGTTTATTGTTGTTGTTTAACTTGGTGCGTGAATTCACTTGCGGTGCTGCCTCGTTGGCTCCACACGACCCGTGTGTGTGATGGTCACGTGGTTTAGCCTTGTCTGCCCGGATAGGTTGTTATATTTTCCACAAAGGTCACGAGTTCAAATGAATGAGGAGCGTTGCATCAAAGGTATTTGTGTATTTTATTGGTCGATTATATTGATGGTGTGTGGCGGCTAACAATGCCTCGAAGTTTCAAACTATTTGCAACTTTGTGTGTGTGTGTATATAATGTGTACATTATAACGATGTTACGAAGCGCAATGTGTATAATGGTGTAATGTATGATAATATTGTATCGTTACTTTGGAACATTGATCTTTCTGGCACGAAGCAGTGTCCCTGTAGGCCAATGCGTGTCTTTGCAGACATGGACAAAGAACATCGATTGTTTAAACGTGAATCACTTAAATGATGACCTTTCCTCGTCTCGGGGTTGTCCGTCGCTGTACGGAACTTGATGGTTTTTTAAAGCGCAAGCATTATGGTGTCACCTGACATCGACTTTACAGCAAACGTGTTGACACATTTAACGATTATACAGCATTTCAGACAAGTATTGAACTCGTCGGCTTTCGCGACCAGTATTATTCATCATGAAGGTTTTTGGGTTAGATCGCGTTATTATGAATGTGTCGCAACCCTCCACCACCCGACACGGCCAATCAGTAAACAAAGTGTCAGGTTGACAAAACGCCAATTAGTTACAGTACTTCTTCAGCCCACCGGTGTGGTTGAAGAGCGAAACGTCGTACTAGTCAAATTCTAAACATTGTGGATTCACTCTTCAAACACACCGGTGGGCTGAATAAGTAACTAATTGGCGTTTTGTCAACGTCACACATTGATCTAACCCAAAAACCTTCATGATGAATTATTGAACTATGGCGCGTGCACGAGGTCCCATGGGTCAAGAGTGCAGCCTCCAACTGCAAGTCTGATATCTCTATCTCTGCTTTGAAGGACTACTGACCGAAACGTCGCCTAATATATTTACATGTGTAGTTGTCCACTTTATGGCGGTGTTTAAGACGAACGTGAGTGCGCTTGTGCGTGTGTACTACTGCCAACGCAACAGCGTCACATGGTGTATGCTTTTGAAACGCACACATATAGACACATAGATGTATGCTTCGTTACCTTGACAAAGTACATCGATGTACTCAACATTCTAGTTAAGCAGAGTACCAGCGTCAGTATTAATGGGTCACAGACTCCTCTGAAACATAGATAATAGCTCCGTGGGCTTCACGCGGTAAATGAAATAGTTTAGTTGAAGCAGACAATACACGGGTCACTTATGTCTTGGCGTGTAAAAGGTCAACGTATTTAACGCATCTTATCAACCGCACAGCCTTCTGGGAGCGCAGATATAATTTCAGCAGGGATGGTTTTAACAGAACCTCTGGACCGGTTTCAGCAGTTCTTGTCTCATCAGCAGTGTCAGGCTTTCTTGGACAACAGTGCTGGTGAACTGCTCAGGTGGCGTTCACAGACAGACTCGGATGTAAATAATGTCTCGCTGCCTGCGCCTGCTGATTACTAAACGCGTTCCATGTGACGCAGAGAGTGCTTTCACGACTCTATCTAACGCAAAAAAGAAGCTGATGAAGAGTTGTACAGAGCGCTGTTTGAACCAACAGAAGCGATGTCTCTACATGACGCCCCCCCCCCCCCCCAGTCTCTGCCAAGCAGGCCGGAGAGCATTTGTACCTCAGTGCCCCCATTGAGAAAGTGTCCCTACCGCTCTAAACAAGTTAGTATGACACTGGCGATGCGACTGCTGTGTTGGCACTGGTGCACAATTAACAAAGAGCCCAACACGTGTGTCTATAACGCTGTGGCCTTAAAAGAGAAAATATGTAGACAACGTTTCGGGCACTGGCCCTTGTAGAACATAGCATATTTGATATTTTATGTGCTATGAAGAAAAGCCATTTCCGAAACGTTGCCTACTATATTTTTCTATTTTAAGGCCACTTATATTTCAACAGCTCTGTTTTAAGTTTCGTGTAAATTCCGTGTTGTTAATGCGTTTATACAAAAGCATTCTAACGCGTGCTCGTTAGGTGCTTTATTGCGTGACTTATTTGGACCCTTGGTAAATCTGGGCCGTGGCGCTTCTTCTACCGTCTCCAGCGCCGCTGCACCAACGCACGTGCTACTGCTACTGTGGGAGGTCACTGCTGCTGCTCCCTCCCCACACACCTCGGCCATGCGTGCTGCCACGTCCCGAACTCTGCTCAAGCACCACTGGCGACCTGCCTCGACTCCTCTCTGCATTGGGCCGACTGCCTCTGACACGCCACCCCCCCCCCCCCCCCCCCGTTTCTGTGCAGCGTCTTTGAGCGAGAAACGCCGTGCAAATCTACACAACGCATTCAGATGTCACACTAAAGGCGTTCCTAAAATACTGCACGTCCATTTCGGCGAGGGTATTTTGCCCCACGACGTTTTATTCACAATGCCCACGGGGTTAGGGTGCAGTGCGAGGCACACGTGGGGCAAAAGGCATTTCTTGTCCTCACGGAAACGGCGCCATCGACCATGATCACCTGGCGGTCGAGATCGGCACGTCGCTGTCGAGGCGCCTGCAACTAGAATGACTGCACCTGAGCAGGCAATCGAGACCAGGGCAAAGAGACCCCGTCACCGCACACACACTTGAACCTTATGGCGGGACCCCGGGGTCCCATAAGCCCCCGGGGTCCCATAAGCCCCCGGCTCTCGCATAAACTGCGTTGCGACGTCATTTTATGTCTGTTAAAGGCGAACGACACGGCGATGTATTCCTCTCCACGAGCATTACAATCAAAGTTTCAAAGTTTTGTTTCTTCTGCGCATTCGTCCTCGTCGCTGCGTTTAGACGACACGACAACAGAACGATCCGTGCCAGGCGGGTCGTGGCGTTCATGTGCGCGGTAGGACGGAGTCGCCAAAAATAAAAGTTAATTACGCGTTTGACTTCCGTTTATTCGGGACCCCGGGGTCCCGCCATAAGGTTCACACACACATATATACAGCACGCAGGCTCTATTAGTTGTACATAACAAGTCGTGATAGGCGCAATGTTTTCATTATGCCAGGGAGAAAACGTTTATACAAAAATGAGCACAACTCAAACGGCATGTCGAGACGTTCACCGGTTGTAAAAATGTTGTTAATAATGCATCGGAACGAAAAATATATAATTGTAAAGCTCTGGTACTTATTTATTAATAATGCTGTATAATGTGTGCTTACCCAAAACGTGCAGCCGAGCATATTTATATATAAATGCGTTAACACTCATTGTGGCCAAGGAATAAGTGTGTACGTGTGTTTTATTTATTTCACAAAGATGATTAAACTTGCTATGACTGTCAAACCTCGCTCGCACGTGCGACTGTGTTCAGGTGGTAGACGTTGTTCGCGACGGTGCCTGCAAATGGTTTTCGCGCAATTATACAACACAGATTTTGTTGTTGTTTTTGGGGCAACATCTATCCCGCAACATTTTTACAACAGAAACAAGTGCCGATCCGTCTCGTGTTTTATTACCAAATATGCTCTCTTGAAATATCCCAAAATAATTATTTAAGTACATTTTAGGCACGAATTGTAGACATTCACGTAATTGTGTTTGTTGTATTTTAAATATAAATTGAAAGACTTTCACCATTTTTATTGTGATCAAAGTAAACTTAAGTTCTAATTATTATTATTGACGTGTGAGTCTACACTCTTATTCAGGAGGGTTATTTAAATATTGCTGTTGAACTCATGCGAGACCCCCATGGCTCAAAACGCATGCTCGGCCTCGCGCTCAAACGACACTTGTGGGGTCGAGCATGGGGCGGAGAGCGAAAACGCGTCGATTCAAGCGAAACCATCGCACAGCGCACATTTGAAAACGAATGTCACGGGAAAAGTAAATGTGCTTTTGCATTCTTGGAAACGACAGCCTAACGGCATGGCTTTTGAACGAAGGTCGTGAACGGCACCCGTGCCATCCGCAGTGTGCGCGCGTCTCGTGCACAATCCCCGGCTGATGTCGCTGTGCTGCCCTTCGACTGCTGTCACGCCACGTGTTTTGTGTACATGGTGGTCACCCAAACAAAGCACCACCCTGGCCCTACCTTGCTTAGCTTCAGAGGTATGATGGGATAGGGTAAATTACGGGTGGATTGATACAATATACACCGATTAATTAAGCGAATTGAAAAAAAGTGTTTTATTTTAAATGTACATTTAATTTGCTCAAGAAAAAAATCTGGTCCCAAGACACCACAGTTAAATTAGCCACGTTACTAATCAGGAGGTGGGTATTATAACCACTTAGATACGTGACAATCAAACAGATCAATGAATATGCGGTTTAATTAAGACATAAACGTGACCAACATACACAGTGCTATGCATCTTTTATGACATTGATGGTTAATTGTATATCGTGGTGTGGCTATGCACAAAGACACACAATCGCACACAAAGATCCCCGCAAAGCCCATTAACAGACTGCTGGGGCAAACGCTGTTAGCGAGCACCTGTTCAGGCCGGAAAGGCGCTCAAGAAGAAGGTGATGTTGCCGGCACCACGCCAGGCAGTCTGCATCTCGCCCGAGTAATGACGTTGATTAGTACCAATGGGAAAGCGAGGGACAATTCTAAGTTAATTCGCCAATGTTGCTAGCCGTGGCCCAGGAATTTAATGGGTTCTCAGTGCAACCTGTGACGCCACTGCTCCACACACACACCGGAGCAGAATGTGTGTGTGTGTGCATTTGCTCATTCACTCGCCCATTCGCGTGTCAAGTGACACGGAAACTCTTCGTGGTTGGTCAGGCAGTGACGAGGCAATGCGACTCATGAGATACCCCTTCGTTAAGCGCTGCATACACACATCTGGTGGTAGCCTACACTCTACAAATACACTCATTAGGTACTGTGAAACTTCACATGATCATGTCAAGCAGGCACTCCAATTAGTGAGCAATAGAAGATAGTATTTGAAAAAGCTTAATTATTCGTTATTTTGGGACAGCTTTTATTAAATTGTCCAATTTAGAAAAAAAACCTTTAGGGTGTTGTGTTCACAACAAACCGAACGGACAGTGACCGACAAACACATGCAAACCATACCCACATGTGTACGTGTGTGACAGCATAACAATTATTACACATGCTGCTGCTGCTGCCTCTTCAGTAGCGTCTTAACATCACACTCGAGACGCACAATGACAGGGCTGCAATGTGAGGAACAGGACATTGTAAGTTGAACGGAATCAGTGTCAATGGTTTCAGAATGGATCAAACACGAACTTTTCTACTTTATATATAGATTTGACAGTTAGTCCTGAAGTTAACACTTTTTTAAATTGCAATGATGAAAGTCTTAAAATACGCTTCAAATCAGACCAACTTTGTCGTCTCAAACAGTGTGTGCTCCTCCCACGATCGATGCTTTTAGTGTCGTGGATAGGCCATCGGTGACATTAACTGCTTACATTTAAACACCTAGTTTTACACGTTTCTATTTATAGCTGTTGGAACTTGTAGGATTCATTGGAAAGGCAACATGGAGCTTATGGAGTTTTCGAGATGAATCCTACAAATGAGCAGACATATGTAATATCCACGTCATTTTGTGCAGCCCAAGGGCATTTCACGGACACCGTTGGACACCGTTATACATAGCAATTTTTTGTTACAAAAATGTTATTTCATCTTGCAATTCAGAGTTCTTTCACAAATGTACTCCATAGCTTTGCGTATATTCCAACATTAACATCTCAATAAAAAACGACTGTGAAATGATGATACCCTCCTCGCAGGCAGATTTAAAGAATGCTTGCAACAACATCACTCGGAGACATTAAGTGGAAATATCAATCTGCAAACACATCCCTCATCTCAAGGCTTGCCAGCGACGCACGTTTAACACTCACTCGCATGTTCTGCCGATGAACAGCGCAGCCAGAACAATAACAAGTGTCCGCAAAGGTATTTATAAAGAGTTCGTCTTGAACAGTTCACCGATTGTTAACATGAACCTACACCGGGGCTAATTGCTCAAGCGCAAGATACGCTCCTTGCGTTCATTTGAACCACAAATCGTTGTACTTATAAGCAAGTTACGTAACCATATGCGTCAATATGCAAACCGTGGATGGTTAGGAAATGTATTCCCGTGATAAATGTGAAAAACGAGCTTTTGTCATTGTTGGTACCGAAACAAACATGCGGCCAAACATGGAAGGATGTTGTACTAATGAACTCGGATTAAAATGATTACTACTCGACGAGCGACAACGCGTTTTAGCCACACGACCAAACATTCGGTGATACAACACAGCAAAAAACAGTCGCACAAAAATGACCCATAGATTGTGATTACGTGTTAACAGCGCCATTTAAAATCAGGTAATGGGGTTTCATTTATTCTGGTCTTAGCACATGGCCAATATTGAATTCCTCACTACGCAGACTCGCAAGTGGCCTCGAGTGGGGTAAAAAACACTTCATATTCGAATTTTAATTAAGTTTAAATCATCACAAATACATTCCCACGATTTCTTAATTGTTAACCACATTTAGCCGCCCAATGCGGCAAGGGAGACGTTTCCAGATACTGTGTTACACCTCCACACAATAGACATTCGGACACCAACGGCGTGAGTAAAATCCACACGCACACGACAAATTGGCATTCAATGTCACTTTTTAAATCGAGCCTCATTTTCTGGATTATAAAAAAATGCAAAAAGTACCGCACAAACATAGAGTCGTCCGATAAAACAAAATTAAAACACAAGATGAAAAGTGAAGGTGTTCAGATTCACACAATTTCTCAACAGCAACATTTACGACCATCGTTGGAGCCCATCATACATTAAAAAAAGGATTAAAATTAGGCCACACAAATAACCTTAGGCATTTCCTAGTCTCTTGTTTGCTAAATGTAATCTCCGCGACTAAAAGTATTAAGTGGCATACGTGGTGAACGTGTTAATGCCTCGTTAGAAACATTGGCAAAGTCTTTATAAATAAGGTTAGTCACAACAAATGTCCTTGGGAGTAATTGGGAACAGAGACATCAACATAAACTATTGCAATGCCAGTTCTTTGCGAACATTTGTAACTAAGCCAAGCTTTGAGATGAAAATATGAAATTCGCAGCAGGAGTCGAACTACCAGTTAAGCACAAGCCAACGTGAAGCCGCGATAATGGAGCCCCCCCTCGCGGCTGAACAGTGTATTTCACGAGACCAGATCTGAGACCAAGAATTCAGGCAAATCAAGGAGACAATCACGGACGTTTTCAATCTCCACGACTCGGCAAGACGACAGTGACGGCCTCATTGTCGACCCATCTGATGAAACCAACTCCCGTGCACACACTCTCTTATTTACGTCACGCCCACGCGCAACTTTCAAATGCAGTTGTTTATATTTATTCTTATTACACACCAAAAACATTCACACACACAAAAACACTCCTTAAATATAGCACTGACTGCATATACAAGGGGCACTAGACGTTAAAGAAAAAAAAATCACAATTGTAGGAAAGATAAATCAAGACTAACAGCTTCTGTACAACACATGGACACGAATCCACATGGCTGCCGCACTGCGTATCGTAATCATATCCTAGATTAAAATGTCCAGCCAGCGCACAATAGAATATGTTAAGATCAAGAGCTAGTTTGACTGCATGCCAACACGGGGTATAAATTGGTCCATCACAGATGCAGCCACAGAGGTTGGTTGGGCCACGTAATCACGCACACACCATTCTCATTAGTGCTTGGCTTGTTTTTTTTATACAGATATGTGCACAAGTCCAAATATTTTACAATTTAAAAGCAACAAAAATGGTTCTCAGTTAACCGCATGTGTAATGTAATTTGTGGCAGATAAATGGTAATTTCTGTCAGGAGAGGTAAGAACTCAAAATTATATGGGTACGTGGACAATGTCCATCTTTGGAAGCGTTCTGATTATTGTTTTCCTGTTGGGTGTGCTGGTGGAGTGTTGAGATTTTTATTGTGGGGCTTTTCCCCTCCAATTATGGGCAAATCTTTTTTTAAAATGTACAGGCATCGTATACGCACTAAATATTTTTCGTCTTAAGTAAAGGACAAATCCGACAAAACATTGTCTACGAAACTTTCAGCTTCATACGCCGCTGTTAGTGTAGGATACTTTGGGTCAATACGCCAACGCCCATTTGCAATGGCAATGTGAATAAATTACTGCTTTTTTATTTTAAAAAGTGCCACGTTCAACTATTGCGCAGGGGAATTAACGTTATACATAAACTACTGTGTGGATGAAGAGAAATCTGCAGCCAAACCGCATCAAGTAAAACCCGGGCACACAGTCGAAGTCAAAGACACACACGTGTGCAAGTTGTTTTTTGATCGGTTAGTCCTACGAATTAAAATCTACATCTCAATGAGGTGCCGCGGTTAGAGCACACAATATTAAAGTTGCGAGCTCAAATTCCAGTCGAGAATCAAATCCGCCGTTTGCCCATTTGATAAACAGAGCAGCAGCAGCACTGGTTGGTGGTTGCCCATGCACGCGTTTGATTACGAAAACGAGACCCCCTTCATTGTAAAATGTCCCATTAAAATCGCAATTGGAAAATACCAGATGGGAAAAACTTCATATATTCATGAAAAACTCAAATGCATGGACAATGAACAGTAGTGGTCCCACGGAGAGACCGACCTCCACCACGACCCTTTGGCATTTGTACCAAGAGCTCGGGATTTTCTTGCCACAGGGAGACCACCTCGGGCCTTCTAGTGCTCGACTAAAGCAGGAGAAAAACTCTGAACATTGACTTGGCATCCCAATGAGAAGCAGGCATGAGTTTTTTACAGTGGCTCATGGGGCAGCCTGAGCGGACGGAAGGGGCGTGGGAGTGGACGAGTGGGGGTAGGCGTTTGGTTCGGTAGGGGTGGACGAGTTGGGGTTGGTGTTGGGTTCGGTCGGGGTGGTGTGGGGTGGGTGTTCAGGGGGCAACCCCCCCCCCCCCCATCATGCTTCATTCCCCTCCCCGTCCTGCGCCTCCCACACGCGCCGCCGCTCGCTCTCGCGAAGCCGCTCCATTTCCGTGTCGCTCAGCGCCGCCCTCTGCCGCACGTCCTCGAACTGGTAGTCGCTCATCAGCACGCCGTCCTCGAACACGGTCACCAGCACGTCCTGCACGGCAAGGGGCGGGATTAAAAGGGCAGAAAGAGGTGGATGGGAGCAGTTAGAGGAGTGCTTTTGGGAAACTGAACTTGATAATGAAAGCAACGTTCCTCAAGCAGAAAGCTTTTAAATCAGTGAACATGACCTGTTATGATGTACACACAAACAAAGAAAACCAAGCAAAATCTAAGAAGCGGCCGAATATAAATACATGTTTCCAAAAACCACTGCGTGCTTTTGGCTAATGAAAAAGCTACTGAATTGACCTTGGTTTGATTTAAATAAAGTTTATTAATCAATCCGTCAACCCAGCAACATGTCTAACTGGCCTTATGCTACCGGTGGTACTCTGAAAGGGCACAACTGGTCCGGAGTTAGCCAGCTTAAACAATGCTGCTGGAAACATTTAGCCACAAGTTCTACAACACTGATGGGACCAAAACGCGATTGTGTTAAGAGACGAAAAGATGCCCGTGTTGTATTAATTTAGCAGCCTCGGCATGTGGAGTGGGGCGACGTACGGTGTTGGGGTCCCCACGCCCCTCTTGCACCGTGTGGAAGGAGCCGTCGGGCGTGCGGTGCAGAGACAGGCGTCCTCGCTTGGAGGCCTTGCCCGGGTCCGTCACGGGGTTCTTGTACACGTTAATCTGCCACGAGACGGAGGCATTCAACACGGCAAGGCAGTGGCAAGAAACGGTGCCAGAGGGCACCAAAGTGTGGAAATGGGCCACACTCGCGCTTATTTACTAGACACACACACACAACGCCGTCATTCATGGACAACAAGATTTCAAGCGGTGCTTGTTTTGTCAAATTAGGACCACACTGCGCACACTTGCTACGACTCAACAGTGAACAACATCTCCCTGTCCGTTCCAGCCCGAGGCTTCCACCGGCAATCTCTGGGCCTGTGTCAACCCGAGTCTTACCCCGGCGATCTCGCCGTCTGTGCGAGTTCGAGGCTTACCCCCTGACCAGCGATCTCCGCATAGCTGCACTTGAACGAGCAGTTGAGGATGTCTCTGTTGACGCGCTGCAGGATGGCGCCGCCAGCCCCAAAGGCCACGTTCTCCACGCTCCAGCGCTCGCGGTGCAGGGCTCGCAGCACCTGCGGGGCCACGCGACCGTTCAAGTCCCCGGTTGGGCAAGTTGTGCATGTGGGCGTGGCGTGCGTGTGGGCGTGTGTGCGTCAAACGAATCATGGGGAGAAGTGGCGCAACGGTTAGCGTACTAGGCTACGGACCCGGTGGCCTTGGGATTGATTCCTGGTCACGGCTAACACCAGCAAGGAGTTAAACACGAACTGGGCCCGAGTCCTAAATAAGTCGGCCGTAAACAAGCACGTGGTGTGTAATTGCCAGCAGTGCGAGAGACGATGGCGCGTGGGTGTGGTGCAGACTGCACCTCTCTCCCTCGTGCATCATTCTGGCCTTTATTAGGCGTTCACTAACAGCATTTGCTTCAACAGTCTATACAGCAATACAGGGGAACATTGTCTTTGTACAGATTTCCCTCTTCATGCGGGAAATGCGTCCCAACAAAAGGGCGCACAAAGCGAAACCGCACGAGGAGACAGCTGCCTGCAGAGTAGTGCACAGTACACATTACACAGTAATACACACAGTACACATTACACAGTAACATACACAGTACCCACACACACAGTATACACAGTACCCACACAACGTCGTCCCACGTCTGACCGCATAGCCACATGTAAAGTTAATTCAAACCACATAGAGCGAGTTTTTGGTAAAAATAGGTTAGCCGCATATACAACGCGACATCGTACAAACACCGAACCCGCATAGAGAGAGGGAAACCTGCTTATCGATAGCGTCCATCTATCTCAGGCTAGGTAAAGTTACAGGTGCCAATGCATCAGTGTGCCAGCTACCTTGACGAGCGTGTGCGTGCCAATGCATCAGTGTGCCAGCTACCTTGACAAGCGTGTGCGTTCCAATGCATCAGTGTGCCAGCTACCTTGACAAGCGTGTGCGTGCCAATGCATCAGTGTGCCAGCTACCTTGACAAGCGTGTGCGTGCCAATGCATCAGTGTGTCAGCTACCTTGACGAGCGTGTGCGTGCCAATGCATCAGTGTGCCAGCTACCTTGACGAGCGTGTGCGTGCCAATGCATCAGTGTGCCAGCTACCTTGACAAGCGTGTGCGTGCCAATGCATCAGTGTGTCAGCTACCTTGACGAGCGTGTGCGTGCCAATGCATCAGTGTGTCAGCTACCTTGACGAGCGTGTGCGTGCCAATGCATCAGTGTGCCAGCTACCTTGACGAGCGTGTGCGTTCCAATGCATCAGTGTGTCAGCTACCTTGACAAGCGTGTGCGTGCCAATGCATCAGTGTGCCAGCTACCTTGACGAGCGTGTGCGTGCCAATGCCGTCGCCTTGGATGACCCGCAGGTAGGGCGGCAGCACCTTAAAGCCGCGCTCGTTTGTCGTCGTCCCAAACTTCTCTCCGAGGATGTTCAACACCTACACAAAGAGGGGCCATCAGACTCGACGTCACGAAGTGTGAAGCGGGATCGTGATCCATTGGCGCCTTCCGATGTATGTGTGCATGTACACTGAACTTCTTTCGCACGGTATGTAGCCAACCGTGCTAAATCGGAGGGGCGCCAATCCCCTAAGAATCACAAAGTTGCCCGAGTTTGGCTCAAATGAGGAGACGACCTCTGGCATCAACAATGAACCAACAATTTTAAAAAGGTGACTTAGCATGTTGAACTTCTTTCGCACCATACAGAGCCAACCGTGCTAACCGGACGCGCACGTTATCGACACGGATCATGAGCCCTCTCCCCCCTCCCCCCTCCTTCACGAGACGCGCGTGGCCGCCCGTCAGCCGGCAGTCGGCTGCCTACCTTGAGCACCATGATGACGGGGTCGCCAGAGTCCGGGCGGATGATGAGCGGCGCCGCGGCGGTGCGCGTGCTCGCCACAAAGTCGTGCAGCTCCTCGCCCCAGATGTGCTCGCACGCGTTGACGATGTCGTAGCTGTCGCTCACGATGGACACGGGCAGCGCGGGGAACTCCTCCAGGATGTAGCGGAATGCGTCGCTCTCCTTCTCCTTGCCCCACGCCGTGATGTTGCTGCGCCGTGCCAACGCGCGCGTGTTACGCAAGCGGCCCCCGGCTTTAGCGCAGGGGTTATTTTATTTTATTTTACCAGGTAAGGCCCACTCAGCTGTGTAGCTGTTTTTCAGAAGCGACCTGGCTACAAATGATAGCTCAACGAATTGGCCTATCACGTGGAAAGAATTTATTGCAGACAAATACTCTAAACGTACGATTCTAAATATGGAGGACCCGGAGAAAATTCCACGAGACGGGCAAACCTCCAAATATACAGCCGTAAGGGTCGGGATTGAACCCACGACCTCCTGTATACCAGGCGAGGTAATTAACGCGTTCCCCATCCCTTAACATCCCGCCACCGTGGCGCCCACGTTTTGCTGGCAATTACAACCAGCTTCAGCACGGGATTTGCCAGAATTGTTAAGACGTCTTCCCGTTTCGGTCTTAACGTCGTACTCAAATTGTAAATGTTGTGGGTTGACTCTCCGACGCACCGGTGCTGAAGTAGTAACCAATTGGCACGTTTTGTTCACGTGATGCGTATGGTGGTGGCGGGTTTAACGACACATTTAGATTTACGCGATCTAACCCAAAACAACCTTTATTATGGGTGGGGATGCGGGGGGGGGGTCGAGTTTGGTGTACCACCCACCTGTGTTCGGAGGCTGGGATCGAGAATCCGGCCATGGGCGAGCCGTAGTATTCGTTGGCGAAGAGGTTCGCGGCCATCGTGTCTGTCCCGCAGAAATTGATGAGGTGAGCCGCGCCTCCGATGCCTGCCGACTAACAGGGGAACAGGAAATCGCACGGAGACCTCCGGCTCAGTCTCACGGACACTCGAGGGAGGGCAGTGCTCTTCACGAGCATGGCGCGGAGAGCGCGTCGAGCGCGAGACCATCACTCGGCAGCTTGGAGAGAAAAACCACAATAAAGATCGCCCTAGAACACGAGCAGCTCTTATCTTGTGCATACACACACACACCTAAGCGGTATGTCCCAGGATGTTTCAAGTGGGAATCTTCATTATTTAGAAAAAAATAGAATTTAAAATCATGGTGAAGTGCATCTTCATGGCACTCGCAACAATCTGATACAATCTAATACATTAATGCAGTGATGCGATTACAGCATGCTACCGAGGAATGCATTAACTTTTCAAAGCAATGTTTTTTTGGCTTTTTCCACAATATTTTGAATTGTGGCTGTCAGCGTCATGTAAAAAGGAATTTTTGCAAGGCCGTACATCTCACACCATGCCACGGAACAATTAACTTCAAGTGATATTACAGAACTACTACCGAGATCCCGTCACACGACCTCCGATCCACACTCTGTGCTGGACTTTACCCTCACAGCCCGCTACAGGAGGTGGCCATCGCAGGGCAGTAGATCCACGTACAGCCTTTCATCAATCCACTGCTGGATGACGGCGACCCCACGTCATGTGGCTCGTGGGGATGTTTCTGGCATATTTCACTCTGCTGGTGGCTCGATAAAGGTGGGGAGCGTAATGGGTCCACCCAAGTACAGCACAACGATGAAGTGATGCACTTCCCTCTGCAGCTCACGTCTGCACCCACAGCCGACAGCACAACCTGCTGCATGTGGCGGTCAACCATCAAATAATCTATCCCGGAGGGCTCAACCCCACTTTGGCTTCCGAAATGTGACCAGATCGGGCGCATACCGGGCGACTTTGTCATAAGCAGCTCAAGCATGCGTGTGCAAAATGGATGCGCGTGCGCACACTCGCACAAGGTGCGTTTGTGTTTTGGACCGAAGCCCTGGAAACACGACGCACCTCGTGTGACGACACGCCGCGATACCCAAAGTCGTGCAGCTTGAACTCGAGGCCCTTGAGGCTGCCGGACGTCTCCTGCAGGTAGACGGCCAGGTACTCCTTCTGCTTGCGCGAGTTGGTGGCCACCGTGATGGGGTACCACGCCTGCACCAGCAGCGTCTGCGGCACGCGGGAAGCGGGAGCGCAGAAAGGGGTCCGGGCACAGCAGCGAGCGATATACTCACCGTGAACAGGTACAGCCCCACAATTGCTTGCTCACGCCACTGCTGGTGGTAGATAGTGCCCCTCTAAAGAGTGTTTGGTCTACTCTTCCACACTGGCCAGATGACTTGGAGAATGTGGGAATACCTACATGTTTAGACCCCACACGCGACTTGCCGATTGACTGTTGCGAACCCATTTATAGAAGGCGGTGAGGGATTTAAGAAACTTGCACCGTCGTTTCAACTGCTGTGTCACGAGACCAAACCGGTGACCTTTGGATGCCGTTACATCATGGCAAGATCCCTGTATGATAATAAATTACAATTTGTTGTTGGAGCCGTGGTGAAATAACGCATTGCGCGTTGAACCCAGCGATACAGAGATAGATCCCTGGCCATGGCCAATGTCAGTGTCGAGCGATGTCCATGGTGCCGCCCCTCTTCACCATCCTCCACTGAACAGCAGCGAGACGAGCGATGTGTGTCCACAGAGTGCATAGAGGCCTTCACGCGGCAGTGGACTGACACAAAGAGCTCTACAAGTATTATTATTATTATTATCATCATCATTCTTTCTTTTATTCTCAGAACCCAATTTAATCACAGACGGCTGCCCAGATTAAAAAGCAGGATCTCAGTGCTGCCAGCTCGTCACTGAAACGCCCAGACACCGCTACACTGCCTAGCTTTGGAGATTCTCCTTGGCCACACTGTGATGTCTGTCTCTCTCGGTAACCAGCGCTCTTCTTTCTTTCACAGATTCAAACCATTGCAACCTCCTATTTCCTGCCATCTCCGAGGCTGTCTTTCCATGTTCTGTTCTTCCCATCGAAATCGCTTACCCCAACCCTCCATTGCATTCCTAGAATCCCCAAATGCACCTGCATTGAACGACAGGAAGATGCCTGTCTTAGAGCTGATTTATTGAAATTCAGGTCTCTCACCCACAATCGTGGCATTAGCAAAAGAAGATAATCTACCAGGAAGCCAAGATCATCCACAGACACTGGGAGAGTGCTAGCTACTGCTCAGTGCTCTATTAGCCACCAACTAACCACCTCACCATATCAGTACACTTGAGAAGCTGGTTTAATTAAAAATGACCAAAACTTAATCTGAATCCAGTACCTCTTCCTCCTACTCCTCCTCCTCCGACGACAACGGTATTTCTCCGATTGAACCAATTTCCAAGGACGTATGAAGACTTCACAACTTGCCACTGGTTTTGTACACTTGCCAATTAAATGCCTGGCAACAGTTTGGCACAACGGGGCTGATAACAGCCGGGCCAGACATGCGTTAAGCTCCAGCAAGCTTGCAACCACCCGGCGCTCGCGACGCACAACATATGCATCTTCACTTAAAAAAATGAAAATGACTTGGCAACGATTGCTATACTCCATTGGGGTCCTTAGTCTAAGAATCCTGCACTGCGGTGGGAGAAGTTACGTTGAGAGAATGTTTAAAGTTGTTATCGGCCAGGGACTTTGAATAATTATTGCCTCCAGAATCCAACAGCTGTCGCTTCCCAAAACAGTGCGAAAATCACTGCCAGACATTTTACCGAGGCCTATTAAGCTTCTCTCAAGCTACGGGACACAGAGGATATTTTAAAATGCACCCAAGATATTATCACTGTCATTATTATATCAATTTTTGCCAGCACAGCTCGCAGTTGTTAAACCACGATAATAATCCGGTAGTGGGGATTCTGGTGATGGTGGTAGCTGGTAATGCCGATTGTTTGGTTGCTACACCACCGGCACATAATGGGCCTACTTTTGGCAATCAAAAATTCAGAGATTTATTTTATGTCTCTATGAATGGCAGGGAACTGACACTCCACCATCAATGAAAGTAATAATGGGCATATGGAATAAATGCGGGGTTGATGCACGCAAGTTGGACATTACTCCTCTGAAAAACTTGGCATGATGGCTCATCCATCCAAGCCGATTTGAATACAACAGTGCTCACAATTGAGATGACAATGAAGTACGTCGACATTGCATTTGTATTTCTCTTACTGTACATAAGGGACATTTCGGAATGCTTAACTATGCATGTCAATGTCTCATTTGTACCGTCGGTCTCCATGTCGCCCCACGTATGCAGTCTCATTTGTACCGTCTAGTTTGTACGCTGGATCTTGTTTGTGCCATCTCATTCATTCTGCCCATTAGTTGTCATGCTCAGTTTTGAGGACCAAGACAAAAATCGATTCTGTATTCGATCCGTAAACATGAACTCACATTTAACTCAACCACAAGAATGATTCACCTTCCATACTTTCAGGTACCTAACAGCGAGCACAGCCCCAAGGCCAATAAAGGTGTGGTTTCTGGTAGGAGCGCGTGTGTGCATGTGTGTGCATGTGTGTGCATGTGCGTGTGTGCGTGTGCGTGCGTGTGCGTGCGTGTGCGTGCGTGTGCGTGTGTCCTTCACTGGTCCTGGGCTTCCCCGAGGTCGACTTTGCCTCAAATGAGTACCGAGTGCAATGTGTAAAAACATTGCCACTTAGGAAACAAAAGGTGGAAGGGCCTGGTGCTGGCCACCCACCCCCCCGTGTGCAGAACCGACCTTCATTGGGTGCTACTCGCTAACAGCACTTGCCCCAACAGTTTGTTAAGGCTATACGGGATATCTTTATCTTCGACTTACCTCCACCCAGCTGGTCAGCCAAAAGCAGGCGGGGTCGGTGTTCTCCACGGTGAACAGGACGTTCCCGACCGGCACCACGGTGCCTTCCGGCACTGCCTTGATGCGCAGAGGCAGTTTCCCATCATGCTTCTGCAGAGAGAACAAGGAAGTGGCTCCCCCCGATCAGCGCGAAGTTGCGGGTCACCATCATCACCTCCGACAGGACCGCGCACTACGTGGCATCAAGAAACCACCACAGTAAAACCTTGGATTGCGAGTAACTTGGTCTGCGAGTGTTTCGCAAGACGAGCAAAACTTTAAAATAAATATTAATTTGATAAACGAGCGAGGTCTTGCAATACGAGTAGTACGTGTATACGCTTTGTCTGCCGAGCATCACGTGATCACAACTGATATACGAGTGCTTTGATATACGAGTTCTTTGGATTACAAAACACGTTTCCGGAACGAATTATGCTCGCAATCCAAGGTTTTACTGTACTTGGTTTCTCTTGTGCCGCGACCGTCACACCCGTTGCTCCCATGAACAAGGAATGATTTCTTTATTCAAGCAGTGTACAGCGTTATTCTGATAAGTATTAATCACGTGCATATGCTATTGTTTTCGTGACCCGGGTCTCTCTGGAGAAATAAACTTTTGGTCTCAATGGACGAATCATCAGCGGCCACGGTCTATCAACTGCTGGATGAAAGATGTCCCATGCCGTCGCCATGCCTCATGGTCCCGTGATGCCACAATTTGCGTCTCAACAGATGCCTTCGCTCCATCTCTGCAGTGTTCATCCTCTCGGGCACATTTCGTCCTTTGCCTGCTATTCCACCACCAGGCTCGCCCATCGGCCATCATCCCTTGGAGCCCCACGTCCTCTCAGAGCCCACTTACTCCTCCTCACAGTAAATACGACGCATCTCCGATTTGCATGCGTTTCCCAATCCATATACTGCAGCGGTCTTTTAGTGTAATGCAACTCCAAGCAAGCTTTTTGTGCACTTGTCAGAATGGGTTCCATTTTCTTTGCCCAGTATCCACTTATCACAAAGGGTAATACGCAATGATTGAAAACTCCCTCCGTCGGACACATTTGCCATGCCAATTTTTACGACAGAGTTTAGACTCTCAAAAAGTCTGTCCTGCTCTTAATCACCTTTTCATTCAATCACTTAAGATCAGGATATTTATTTATACTGGAGGAATCTGATGAGCTATAAAACTCTTTTCACAGACGTCCAGTAGATCTTGATCTGCCTTCAACAATTCCTTAGATTCTGCTGCGTTTTCAGGATGTTCCCCAAACGTTTATATATATATATATATATTGTACACGGTTTCTGTTTTGCACGTTAAACATCCGCGTTCCACATTTACAAATCGTGTCACCTCCAAGATGTGCATCCATCCAGCTTCGTTGAAAATAGGTTGACCAAAGTGCTTCAAGTAAAACTCCTTCGCGTCCTCAATCTTCTTCCTCGACACCACTTGGCCTGCGAATGAGAGGTGGAATTGGGTCAAATGTGAGCCACAGAGCTGAACAACAAACAAAACAACCAACCCAATAAAGTGTTACCCCTCGGTATAATTGCACTTTTCAAATCGAGATTTTAGAACTCCTGCCTTTACAACTACTTCCTGTTCAAGTTCGTTGTCCTTCCCCCGCACCTCCGATTGGCAGGGTTGGCCACGTACGGTACGAAAGAATTTCAATATACATGCATCATATTGACCGTTTAGAATCGTAATTGGACATCCGCAGGACACGTGGCTAGAAGGGTGATGGCCGGTGATCAAAACCTGCGTCATACTGGCAGCCAAAGGAGGGAACATTCCTGAGAGGAGGCTTGCTTTGGAGAGAAGCGTTCATTGGGCTCATTGGCAGTTGCAACGAAAGACCTTGGAGAGATGGCGATAGCTTTGGAAGGTCTTTACCCTGCAATGGTTGCTGCTGCTGATGATCAATTTGAAGAGGGTTCTGTGCATAATCTGTAGAGGGAGTGGATGAAGGCTCAAGGAGGAAGAGTTGCCGATGTCCTTCGGTGACCCTTGGGAGAAACACGTGGGGGAGCGGCGCATCGCGTTGCGCCATCCGTGCCTCTCTCATGCAGAGGCTGATTTAGCCAAAGGAATGCTCGCTTACTGGACGCTGGCCAAAATCTGCGAGCCAATCTGTTGGCTATAATTAAAAGGGAGTGTGTGTTCGTGTTAATCACCACGGCCGGATTAGTGGAGGAGCAATTGATGAGGGTTCAACATCTCTTTTGTCGATTAGCAGAAAAACTTGAAGGGAGAAATGATTTATGCCTGTCGAAGTGTTCCGGTTTCGTGAACACTGTATTATTCATGTCAAGCAGCTCGCTGGACTGTGCTGTAAATAGTGCACGAGGTTGAACGGAAAAATAAATCCAACAATAGTGCTAAATAATTATTTTAACCACAGCTTTGGTGAATATTCAATCGACTGGCACCCTTTTATTCTGATACGTAAAACAAAACACTACTGTAATAAAAAAAGAACCCACTGAAATCGGTACAGAACAAGGGTCACTGTCAATTCACCAAACCGGGCATTTAATTTCACCAGCTTTGGTTTGGAGGAGCCGCATCTCGTGGTTGCAGTCGCTGACGTACCCCCATTACACACGGCATTCAATTTAAAAACAACTATTTTCTAAACAAGTGATACGGTTCATGTATCGTGAGCTGAACATATTAATCAATAAAATAATCCTCAATTCATTTGCCAATACATATTACCTTGGCTACATCAAAACAGACCACATGGTTTAGTAATGTCTTAAAACGATATTTTTTTCTTACGGATTTTTGTCAATCTGGTGCAGGTTGACAACCCTCCCCAATGCGATGTCACCATGGGGGTCGCCTGTGACCTTACTTCACCACTTGTCAATACACAGCTGAACTGGTTCAGATATCAATCGTCACTGTTGCTAGCCGTGGCCGGACATAAGAGCCCGTGTCACCCGGTTTGTAACGCAGTGCATGCTAATGAATGTGCCACAGCTCCACCCGATATCGTGCGGAGTCATTAAATGGAAGGGTTTGAAATTATTTATGGGAATATAAAAATGACATACCGTAAGGCCTGTCAATCTGATAAAGTGGTAGAATTTGACAGCAAGGGTTACAAAAAACTCACTCTTTAAATAGTATTTTCCAAAAAGCTTCATTGATCGTGTTGAGTCTATCTTCAAAAAGACACCATACCTCAACATGGTTACCCCCAAGATGCACTGTGCTAGCAACTTTTGATGATTCTACGCTGAATACAAACGAGTTTATTGCCAACATCTTTTACTGTTGGGGGGGTTTGTTCGTTACTCAATATATATATCAATAGGAAACTGTGTAAAAATTCAAGAATCTTCATCAGGAAATTGATACATTTTTATTTTGACCAGGGTTCCATGGTGCCTAGTGCAGTCTCCAATTATTATTCACTTCATCATCTCTCTCGCCTCCATCGACTGCATTCTATGAAGGGTCACTGCCCACAATGACACCCGATATAGAAAAGGTTGCATTTTAAAGCAGTGTTATTGACACACGTGTTGAGTTTTTGGTTTTTGTGCTTGTGCACGATTGAAAAATAATTTGACAAAGCAAAAATGGCCAGGAATAATGAAAGTCATTCAAAAGAAATGTACGATTGATCTTCACATGCATGAAAGGCACTCGTGAACGCAGGTGGCACACCCTCGGTCTTGGGAACCACGCCTAATAAGCACAGCACGTGGCCCATAGGAGGATTAATGACATCTAAAAAACACATTTTTTTGTTAATAACGTCTCAAATTAGAATCAGACAAAATCACCCAGAGTGCAGCCAATCTAAAGACGCTACACAGAGCCAAGCTTGGATAGTTGTCAAATGGGCAACCACCATGGTTAACAGGTGCTATAGGCTGCTGCTGCTGCTGTAGGGCAATGTTATGAGTAGCAGGTGTCAGTGCAGCGATATCCATTGTTATACTGTACTTGTAGGATTCAATGTCTACGCTCCATGCCTTTACCAACCTGCACTAACTAGCATAGTGGAGCAACCCCATGACCGACACGTACACACATCACGAGAACAATGTTATTATGTAAACTAATATCATCGACTCATCCATTAATAGCGCACAGATTCCAAAGCCCCTTTCTGGAGTGTCCTATATTCGGACGTTTAATTATAAAATGTCCCCATAAACTATGTGCACCCATGACAGTTCAGTTCATGATAAAGGTGCAGTGAACAATCTGGGAAACCAGTCGGTTACACAAACATCTGGTTTGTTGAGATGTTGACTGCACTGTACAAAGACACCAGACCATATTCTTTCGATTTTTAACAGTTGGACAAGAGTCAAACATCTAAACAACAGACACAAGGCCGTTAATTAGAGATGCGACAATTCATCGATTAACATTAAAGCTCAGGACACGTGCGTTACACTCCACGTTTAAACTTGATTTTGTTTTTATCGCGGGAGGGGGCTTATCGTGACATCCCTAGCCACCGATACAAATCTTTTCACGCACCTCCGATGAGCACGGTTGGCTACGTACGGTGGAAAAGAAGTTCAACGTACATGGATACATTTTCCTGCAAGATACCGTCAGGAATACGCGCGTACGAAACGAGCGCGCTTTGCACTGCGATGCGCCCACCGAGGGCTTGCGTGCGTGCAGAAAGGCACCTGCGAAGTACTTGCGCAGAGTGTACTGAAGACCAAAGACGACCACCTCCCCGAACTTGACCTCGCCGTCCACGGCTCCGTTGAGCTTCCCGCCGCGGCACTCGAAGTAGGAGTAGACGGTGGTCGTGTTGGGAGGGTACTGCTTGTAGTGCGTCACCTGCGCACAGGAACGGGAATGATAGTCATGATGGAATGTACAACACTTATCTAGAAAGAGAGCTTGACAGCTCAACGGATTCCTCCAGATTAAATATTTACATTCTGATAAGGATTTCGGTTAAATCTTGACCGAAAGCTTTCGTGACTGCAGGAATTCATATTCTTTGGGTGTTTCGGAAAAGTTACGTAGAACCAAAAAACTAAAACAGCCTGCCTCAGCAGCTTTCCTCCTCCTTTTCTACTCCCGATGACGATTGCTTGTGTTGCGATCGAAACGTCGTAGTTTTTTTGTTCTTTGTGAGACTTTACCGAAAGACCCAAAGAATAAGGATTTGTGTATTTTGGTTTATTTTTTACAAACCCATGTTAAGCACCAGCCCTTCTTTAAGCATCTAAACTCTGGACCCAGTTTTACTCTCTATGGGGTTCATCAGCAGTCCAATAACAATTACCAATGGTTTACAAGGTGCATTTACTTGCTAATGTTATACAGTATGTAGGCTAATGAAGTGAACAAAACACTGAAGAGGAAAAAAGGAGAAAATACAAAATGGGACAGTGGAGGGAAATCCTGAATCTAAACAATTCCAAGGGGTGGGAATTGTGACAAGTCCACAATAAAAGTAGTTTTTAAATCCTTTATATTAAGTTCGCGTGCTTGCTTGCTTGCTTAGGACCGTGCAAATCTTTCGGTCGTTTTTTAACCCACTTCCCGTGATCCAATCGAGCTGACATTTTCCACACAGACTCGTTGTGCCAGACAATTATTGTTCGTGAAAAAAAATTCCCAAAATTTTACACTTTTTAGGCAAAAAAAATGTATTTTACATATATTCAAATAGAACGCATTCATGGCTTTGGCTGAACGTCAGAGTGTAAGAGCCCAGAGCGTAACCCCTCCACAGGCCGTGGCGGAGTAGCGCAGTTAGTAGCGCCCTCGCTTCCCATGCCAAAGGTCGCGGGATCGATCCCCGCGTCCTCCACAGGCAAATATATTTTTAAATCCTTTATATTAAGTTCGCCGCCACGCATATAAAGGATTTATAGTGAAAAACTTTGTTTTTACGGGTTTACTTGTTACATTTACAGATACCATGAAGACAGATTTTTTAAATCATACTTTTCCTGAATTGCTATGGATTTGTTTATTTATAATTCATCAATTTGTAATGCTGAATACGTAATTACCCCCAAAATGTTTAAGTTTTAATCTGCCAGTTGAAGTCTCATGGTTTGTTATTTTTTAAAGTCTAAGTGCCTGGCACCTATTTGTAGTGAAAGCCACGAGATGGGATTTGTTTTAAATGAACGCTGCTTTGTTGTTGTGGCATCGCGATTAGCGGACTGCGCCACGAACCGGGGCACCCCAGTTAGATTACTGGCCACGGCTAACATCAGGTCACAAGTGATATCTGAACTGGCCCCGGGCTCCCCCATCCCCAACCCGTACTGACCAGCGTGGTGAAGTATGGTTAAACAGCCCCCATTATCGACACAGCGTGGGAAGGCGTTCAGACTGCCAATGATGCACTTAAAATTATACCAGCTACAAAGGCCATAATGCAGTAGGAGGATAAACATGTCTGTGGATTGTATATCACATGCACAATGTTTGCATTGAAGCCAACAAATAATCTCTAGAGTCTGAACCCTTTCAACACTGGAAGCGTGCAATGTCTGCCGTTAACGCTGTAGGCCTATTTTACTACTATATTTACCCAAGAACGTCAGTGTGTAACGCGCGTGACGTAACTCCACGTCGACCAGCCCCCCTCATTAATAATCATGAACAGGTTACGTCTTTCAAATGGACCCCCCTCATTAATAATCATGAGCCGGTGACGTCACTCCACATGGGGTAGGGGGGGGGCACCTCCTCCCCCTCCTCAGCGTCAACTCACAACCCTCACTACAAAGGCAGAACCCTCACATCACGCGATCTCCGTAACGCTGTTGAGACGTAGAAGTAAAAAGGACGTCATGATAAACAAGGGATTATAACCTTAAAATAAAATAAGTCTGTGTCACCGCGGCCTTACACATTGCACACGAATGGATGCAGCGAATACCATGTCGCGGGCTGCTTTTCGCTTGCATGTTGCAAATTTACTGCCATACACCCGTCCTTGGACGGGCTCAAGGCTCGCTGTAAAGAATCTCGAATAACAAAAACATCGAAAGCTAAAAAAAACGGATGTGACACTGCGATTACTTTCTCACCCCACCGCTGGTGAGGTGGCCTCCCCTAGAGGAAGCTCTAGAAGGCCCCTCTTGACGGTATTGGCCTACTCGTTCATACTGCACAGGCATCTTCGAAGATTTGGAAATACCCACACTTCACCCCACCACATGAAACCTTGCCAAGTGGACTAACCAGGGTGTAGTAATTCATACTCTTGGGGTGACAGCGGTGGGCGAGTTTGAGAGACTTGCACTCTTGATTCAACTGGTGTGTCAGGAAATCAACTCGAACCGCACCACAGGCGACTACTCACTGTGGTGTTTCCATTTATACTTTTAACAAGTATAACCCGTAAAAACAAAGTTTTTCACTATAAATCCTTTATATGCGTGGCGGCTAGAGTCCTCTCGTCCTCTGTCTTGAGATGGCTGCCACCTATGGGTCAGATGATTGCATGGCAGCATTAAGCAATTGGTAATGAAATATAATATTTTTGTCCTAAAAAGTGTAAAATTTTTTAAAAAAATTTTCACGAACATTAATTGTCACGCAAAACGAGTCTGTGTGGAAAATGTCAGCTCGATTGGATCACGGGAAGTGGGTTAAAAAACGACCGAAAGATTTGCACGGTCCTAAGCAAGCAAGCACGCGAACTTAATATAAAGGATTTAAAAATGGACAGAGTTAGGGGGATTTTTGTTTTTTTACAATTTTTCCCAACGTTTAAACTGCCGTGCCAGGACATTGAATCAAACCGACAACCTCTTGACTGCAAGTACAGTGTGCTAAACGTTGCCGCACGGAAACATCCCAAATCGATTACCTGACAGCAAATCTAACCGAGGTCCACAAAGTCAGTCTAACTTTAGTCCCAGCTATGGCTGGCAGCGAGGATGCTGTACATACGATCTAAATAAGGCAGGAGCTGGCACAGATCAAAGTACTGTAACTGCTGACAGATGATTGCATGCCATTGGTAAAGCATTTGCTTGGAGCCACGTTTGTCCTTCTGGCAAGGGCTTCAATTCGTTTTGCGGAAATCCACCCCATTCTGAGCAGGACGGCGACGTCACTCTGGGACAGCGTCACAGCATAACAATTAACTGTTCGTTTGCAACTTGAAAAACACGTGAGAATTTAACATTTGCATAATGAGGTTTGTGCACAAAAGTCATGTCGTAGAGAAACGACACCGTAATTAAAACCGATTATATTTCTCAAGTCTATTTATACTTTGCTAAATTAACATATTTCCAAAATAACACGTCACAACTCTGTACGCCAGGCATTATCCGACAACAGAAACTCGTTCCTGTGTGCTCTCGGCCACTGTTACTTTGTCCGACCTTGTTTGTGTGCGTATCTTTGAAAGTTTGTTTGAGCACAAAGCGGCCTGTGGTTGTGGAGAAATTTTTGTACTTGGCAGAGGAAGAAAAAAAATCGCACCTTAGAATTCAGTTTAAAGTTCAGTTACGTAATTGAGTGTTAAGTCTCCCAAAGCTCTGAGCTCATTAAGTTGGCTAGATTTATTTACAATTTTAATTCATCTGTTGGTTTCTCAGAGAGACCCTTTGATACAGGTGATTCCACAAAGTATAATACATTCATTCGCTCAAATACAAAACCTGTCACAAGCACAGGTGTAGTACAGTGTCTTGGACAAACAGCCACTGACTGAGACACAACAGACAAATGATTAAAATATACAAACACCTACAATACTTTAACCCCACCATACACGACCTGCCAATTTGCTTCGCTGTGGTGCAACCATGTACAGTATACTCTACTGAAACTGCTGGGATTAATAGAGGCAAGGGGGGGGGGGGGAAGCTGAAATTCAAACATTTCGTCGTCATCATTTCCTTGTCGAATATTTGTTTTCAGGTTTTACATGTCGATTCTAACCTCTGAAAACCTCCCAATAAATACTTTGGTGAGGATCAGGGTTCGTGGTGGGTATCTGTGTTAACCATTAAACCACAGCTGCATACAAGCGTCTCAAAGAGACACTGAAAGGAACACGGAAGAAATATTACTCAATGGAGGCGAAATAAAACCTAGACGGAGTTGACCTGGTGGTTGACCTCCGAGTCATCGACTCTGGGTCCAACTGCAGGCAGCTATTGTGATTAAATAGGGCCTCAAGTGTAGCGAGTTTATGATCTGAACCTTGATGCCAATAATGACAAACGTGGCCAGCCCATAAGATTTAGTTCCGATCTTAAATTTGAATAAATCCCAGCTCTGAGGAAAAAAAAAACCCATCAGTTGATTGTCATGCGCTGAACATTACTCTCCATGCAGAGCAGGTAAGAAAGTGGAATTTGTATGTGTATTTAAAATCCTTTGGTGGCCCATTATCACCGAGGCTGAGCGTTTTTTTTTAAAGCATTACATTGTCATAGCAAGGACTCATCTCATAGATTGGTCAATTATATTTCAATGATGTACACGTGATTACTTTCTCATTAAAACAATATTTTTTAGACATGTATTTTCAAGGTTAGCGCGGTTGAAGTCATGTACTCCACAGAAAAAAAAATGATACAAAAACCATTGTAAGATTTTTATGGTTCAGAGCTTTACCAAATTAATTCTACTGGTAAAATATCCTAATGGATTCTTAGGAATCCTTCAATAACGCCAAGAGCACAACTGGGATACAACGTTATTATGCTATGTGTTTGTTTCTTTTAACAATATTTAAACAATATTTCCCAGTCACAGCAAAAATAACGCCAAAAACCCCCTTAATAACATTGAAGGTACTTTCCTCAACGTATCCGATATGCTGTGAATAAACAGAATTCAGGATATAAAACCAGACATAAAAAGGCGTCTTGGTAGATAGGCAATGTACTTGAAATTTAAATTTTGCTCAATAATCCAGGTACAAATATGAAATAGATGTATAGTACATGTGCAGATGGAAAGCCCTTTTTAAGCCCTGCTGGATGAGGGCTTATACACACCGTGCAGCACTCAGGAGTTATTTTACCCTACTCCATGGTGTAGGCAGCAGGGAGCATAGAAGTACAACACAACTGTGGATTTCTTGTCACTTTCCTCTGCAGCTGACCCCTCACCAAGTAAAGCTGTTCTACATGGTGGTCACACACAAAAGACCTATCCAGGCTCAACCCTGCCTATCTTGGGAGATCTGATGAGATCAGGCGTATTCCAGGTGATTTGGTCCTAGGCGTGAAAACACATGGCCCACAAAGCACGGATCATATCCAAAGCAGCTGCCGAGAGTCTAGTTACGTGGGTTTAATACGTGCCTTACTGCAATGACCTTCACATCACACATCCTTTCAGGCGCGTCCATTAGGAATACAGTGCACTGTATGGCAGTGTCAAACCGAGTCGGATATACCCATTGGCAACCAAAAGTAAACGATACACACTCCTTTCAATTCATTGTAAAGGGTTTGTACCAGTAGTTTCCTAAAAAAAAAACTCATGGGCCTCTGAGATCCGACACCAGGACACAGGCGGTGCTTATAGAGGTAGTGGCGGAGATGCAGCAGGGAAAGAAGACCCCAGCTGTTTGCGCTGTGTGTTTAACCTTACTCGCATGGAGCAACTGTGCAGTCTAAAACGAACCCGGCATACTCCCAAGGTTATTTGTGCCTGCTCGCTGTTGGTAAGGGCTAATGGAAAGGTCAGCGCATGCATTGTGCATTTACAATACACGCCAAAACATTTTAGTCCATCCACTGACAAAAATACACCGCGGTTTTTCTCAGTTAATTGGGTTTCAGTCATTTTCCAAGAGAGCAAAAGATAAAATACATTTGTTTAACCGTTATTAATATTGCAGCATCATTATGTTCTGCTTGCAAGAGAGAGGGCTTGGACAAAGTACAGAATATCAGGAACATTGTTACACACGGTACACTGATTAAACATTTGCACGAACTGAGAACAAATGCCAATTTTTGGGAAAATGTTCTGATATCAACGAAAAACTAAAGTACAAAGGCATTTCGATTTAAAGCTTTCGTGACTGCAGGGATTCATCTTCTTGGTTCTTTCGGTAAAGTCACCTAGAATGGAAATAATAAAATAATAAAAATAAAACATAATATAAACGTCGTGAGAATAATTTATGTTTTATTTTTATTATTTTATTATTTCCATTCTACGTGACTTTACCGAAAGAACCAAGAAGATACAAAGGCATTCATTCTCAGCCCTTTATCCAGTCTTTGGTAGATGAAAGCCTCCCCAGCTACTAATCATATTTCGCCATGCTGATCAACGTGGGTTGAGGCAGGGAAATCCATGACAGAATTAGAAATCATGCCACACATGTTAGCCATGGCCGAGAATTGAACTTTGGTCCCCAGGCTCGTAGCGCAATCCGCTAAACAATGCACTATGAATCTACCTCTAAAGTATTATAACATAGCATTCGTTTTAATACTTAAAACATTTATAATTGCAGTATCACAGCATAACTATGCAAAGAGTCAGCTGTATACAAGCCAACCATGGCATCACGCCAGTTTCACAAAACATTCACAAACCAACGAAAATGGGGAAATAAGTTGTTACATTTGTGGATTCATAATGAAACTGAAATTTAAATACCTTAAGAAACAGACTACAAGCCAATACGCATATGACCGAATCAAAGCATAAATGGACCAAGCTATGTGCATGCTATTCAACAAGTATGTTATTTCAAAGTTACAGAGTAATATTGCGCATTGGCAAATGGTATTTGCAATGTCATACAGTACTTGTTACTCCGGTGTTAAAGTTGTTCAACTGGAATATTACACATTCTTCCTGACAAACACGTGTTTATTACTCTCAAGCACCTGTAATAAAAGGGTCTTTATTTGCATAAAACCACTTGATTACGGTTACTGGGAATGCTATGGCAAGTTTAATGACATCAGGTCTTGCACATCATTAAGTGTTTGTGCATCGTATCGTTGTTGCTGCGATGCCCAAAACAGTGTGGTAGTTACTCTAAAATGATATACTACCATTTGTCAATCGACTCTCTTAGGATGAAGGCCTCCGCCACTCCGTGTTGATCATGTGGGGTTGTATTTGACGACACTTCAACACGCGAGTCAGTGTAGGGGTTAAGGGGGAGGTCATTGACCAGGAGAGAAACTCGGGCTGCCGGCTTAACTGCCCAATGTGCTACTTCTAAACAAATTACCAATTGTTTTGCAGAAAATAACAGTGGACAAGTGTGGAGTTTCACCGATTTAAACCTACTCACAACCACGGAGGTGTTATGGGTACTGTCTTCAATGCATAGCGTCTAACAAGGCGGTTGTGTCAAGCCAGTTTCAACATCCTCTTTTCGGGAACTAAAGACCCCACACGGCCTGGCATTCCAGTATCACAACCTGTTTATGACGTAGACGACTTTAAGCATCACTGACGAGAATGTTCAACTGCATCAGCAAGGTCTCCGTCATCATGTGCGTTACGTCAAATGCCCTATGGTGTTACGAAAGGCCAATCTGTGACAGATTGAGTCATGCCTATGCTCTAATCAGAAAAATATGAAAACCAATCATTTTGCGCATCCATTATATAATAGCCTAGAAATGTAGAAGATTTACGAATAAGGCAGGGTTACCCTTGAGTGTTAAATGCTTTATACCTCATGCTAAGAAGTGAAACATACATACCGTCCTATCATCAAGTAATTTGCCTCTCAGTGTGACAAAGCCATTGTAAATGGAGTAAAGTCTGCTATGGGTTATGGCGATGGCAATAAAGTTCTCACAATATATTAACTTCATGTTAAGGATAAAGACTTGCACAGAAATGCAAGACAACTGTATATGGAATATTACTGCTAAGGATCCCATTACTGTATGCCAAATATTTACAAGCGTCCCCGTGTTCAAGTGAACAATGCACACTACTCAACTTATTCGGTGTTCCTGATCCAATCAAGGCAATTCCATGTTTCTATGGCGAAGATCAGTCTCTTCACAGGACAACCAGTAAACTTGTCACCAAGTGCTCACCATGTAGCCAATTGCAGAATAAACGTAGTGCAGAAATGGCACTTCCACAGTGCTGCCATCTCGCAAATGTAATGTACAATCTAAAACAGCACCTTTATATGGACAATCATCTTCTAGAGGGAACTGTAGAAGACAATCGTGTTCTAGAAAGGCACGACAACTTTCACTTGGCATACATGTTGTTGGCTGAGATTTTTCAAGTTGCGTGCAAAGACTCGACTACTGAATCTTTAAACATGCTTTCACAGTCAGAGGTTGATTGGTTTCCCTCATTTTGGACAAGATCAGCATACAGTTGAAATTGCCTTAAGTGTCGTGCTAACAATATGAATCAGAAACAATCGCCAACATCAGTGGACCAGGTATTGTACCTCCTGCAAACTGTGGCATTAAAGCGAGCAAAGAGTGAGGCTCTAGCAGTGAAGAGCAGAGAAACGTACACACGGAGGCTTCGTCATTTCTTTCAAAGTTACGAGACATCTCAAGACCAGCCATGGTCGCTCCACTGCTGGATGAATGCCACCACCTCTCACGACCGCGAGTTGTTTTAATTCACCCGGCCAGGGTCTCGCACTCGGCCGTTCATCTTCACCACCATCATCATCACCCGGCATCACTGTGGCCGTGTCCCCTCCTGACCAGGCCCATCAACCCACTTCTTACCACAGGATCAATCCTTATATGACCAGAAGCGTGTTTGCTTGCAAGTGCACCCCCACGTGTACTGTGGTTAATGCAGACAGGATTCTTTGCAAATAAAAAAGGTTTCTATTTGGCGTTTGAACATCTTAACACCTGTTTTAACGCCAGAAAGGGTAAAACGTATTCTTATTTTTCATAAAAGGATGAATTACGTCTTTAACCTGCTCACGTCTCCGAATGCAATTCTAAGCATGCATCCCTGAGAGCCGATTTGCATCATTGCAATACATGCAGTGAATACAAAGACCGCGTTCTAAAGGGGTTATCTATAGTCACGATAACATCAAAGGTCCTACACACAAACAAAGTCGCATGCTCAATGTTGTCAATTCGACGTGAAGCCAGCCAGGGTGGCCGCTCGCCCCCCGATTCAGCCCAGCGACAGTGGCGGCGTACATTCCACATTCGTGCGGCGGGGAAAGTCCATCCACTCGACACCCACCGCTGAAGGTAATGGATCAAATTTCGAAAAAAACATGACGTTAGCGCCGTAATATGCACGAACATCAGCCACGTAAGTGATTGCGAGCGATCTGTAGCCCGTGGGCCCCGTCTGGACAAGCGACGGGGCATCGCAACACGACGGGGCAAGGCGCCGCCGCTCGAGGTTCAATGAACGACGAAGGCCTCGGACCGCCTCGCCACCAAGAACCCTGCCGACATTCACACAACTACAGGCGACGGCGGCGGCAGTCTCCACGATTCGTGGGTTCTCTCTCTAAATAAAGAACACAAACACGCGGCGCTGTTTGTGTTTTAGTGCGTGGGGCCTGCCCCAGAACGACTGCGACCGGCGCCGCTTTGTAAATGGCAGCGCGCATCGGCGGCGCCTCCGAGTGAGACACACGGAGAGAGAGACAGAGAGAGAGAGTCGACATCTAACAACAACAATAACCCCAATAACGAGGTTGACAAGGAGCGGTGGGACAGGGGGGAGAAGCGGGGCGAGACCTTGTACGAGTCCGTGGCGAGGACGATGTTGAAGGACGCTGCTGCCATCTCTGCCGCTGCGTGCGCGCTGCTGGGAGCCGCTGCCGCTGCTCAGACTCAGACTCCTCTTCCTGGAGCCCCGTGAGGGCGGCCCACACGCCGCGCCTTTTATACACTCACCACTACCACCACCCACACACTCACACACACTACACTACTACCACCCACACACACACCACACAACACACACACTCACAACACCACCACACACACACTCACCACCACTACCCACCCACACACTACACCACCAGCCACACACTCACACTACACTACCCACCCACACACTCACAACACCACACACTACACACACAACACCACTACCACCCACTCACACCACCACCACAACCACCACACACACACCACCACCCAATCACACTCACCACCACTACCCACCCACACACTCACACACACTACACACACAACACTACTACCACCCACACACACACTCACAACACACACACTCACCACACAACACACACACTCACTACCCACACACACTCACACACACTACACTACTACCACCCACACACACACCACACAACACACACACACTCACACCACAACCACCCACTCACACCACAACCACCACACACACACCACCACCCAATCACACTCACACCATCACCACCACACACATCACACCACAACCACCACCACCCACAACACCACCACACACACCACAACCACCCACTCACACCACCACACACACCACAACCACCCACACACCACCACCACAACCACTCACACCACAACCACCACACACACACCACCACCCACTCACACCGTCACCACCACACAGACCACCACCACAACCACCACCAGCCACAAACACCACCACACTCACACCACAACAACCACCCACTCACACCACCACACACACACACCACCACCACAACCACCCACTCACACCACCACCACAACCACCACACACACACCACCCCCCAATCACACTCACACCATCACCACCACACACACCACAACCACCACCACCCACAACACCACCACACTCACACCACCATCACAACCACCCACTCACACCACCACACACACCACAACCACCCACACACACCACCACCACAACCACCACCCACAAACACCCCCCCCCCCACACACAACACCCCCCCCACACACAACACCCCCCCCCACACCCCCCCCCCACACAACACCCCCCCCCAAACACCCCACCCCCCCACACACACCACCCCCCCACACACAACACCACCACCACCCCCCCACACACAACACCCCCCACACACACCACCACCACCACCTCGAGACCTGCTCCCCCAGGCAGCCGGCACGGCTACCACCCGAGATGGATGACCCGCCACAGCACGCTCAGCTGTCGTCGCGGTACCGATGTTAGGGCGGTGGAGGATGATTTAAACTAAATGTTACGTCGTGGTCAGGTGTTGGTTGGCTCACGAGGGTATGAATGGGTTGACGGTTGTCTTTGTGAATGAGCAATAGTGGGGGAGGACCTTTACATAATTGTGTTCTCGTCATATTACGTTGTTACACTATTATTGCGGTGTTGGCAGTGATTACACGTGGTTTATCATAATGGACTCGGCCCCGTCATGAACATGTGGAATTTCCATAAATCCATTATTTCTGCAGAACAGTATCCGAGTACTGTATTGTAAATCCTAATTACAGTTGTCATGTCACTAGTGTTATTGACGTGATCTAACATAGTTTAAAATGCGTTGGAATGAGAGATACATTCATGGACTAATCAAATGATGTGCTTTCGGGAAACCGAAACTACATCAATTCTTAGCTTCCCTTTTCACGGAAATGTCGTAATCACTGCCTTGACGGCAAGTCCTGTGAATGGCTCCTGACCACCACCACTCTTGGTCTCAACTGGACACACGAATCACCTGCAGTGAGCTCAGACGAAGATGATGCCTCTCATCCTCACCTGGGCTGCAGTCACTTGAGCCATTCACATTTTTCGTGGCCAATATAATAATGGAATAACCAAAACAAATTAAATTTCGATGTAAAGCTTTCGTGACTGCAGGGATTCATATTCAAGGTTCTTTCGGTAAAGTCACGTAGAAGGTAACTAATAAAAATGTAACATAATTAAATACAATTCTCACGACGTTTCGGCCACAACGCAAGCAGCCGTCCTCAGGTGAAGAACATCTCTCTTGTTCTTCATGAGGACGGCTGCTTGCGTCGTGAGAATTGTATTTTATTGGTTTATTTTTATTATTTAATTGTTGTATTTTTATTATTTTATTATTTCCCTTATACGTTACTTGTGGACTGCAGTATATTTGCTTTTGTAAATACCTTCCTCATTACCCCTTCAACTGACACGTAACACGACACTGATCTTAGGTCATTTCGGTAACGTCACGTAGGCACAAAATAAAATAAATATTGCTGTGGTTTTCCCACCTGATGATGATTGCTTGTGTTGCAATCGAAACGTGATTTAATTTATTTTCTACCCACGTGACTTTACCGAAAGAACCAAAGAGTATGGATTCCTGCAGTCACGAAAGATTCAAATCAAGATGCGACACATCCCTTTCGACGTCCATCCTCTTTGTAAAGCAGGTTAAAAACACAGTACCAGATGTTCTTCCAATCACAAGGCCTCCATGCATGGGTCGTGCTGGGTCTGTGAGCGGGGCATTCCCAATCTTGTTGCTTCATCCACAGCCGGTGTCAGTCTTGCTCGCCCCCCTCCCCATGTCCCCCCTCACCTCACCACCCACCCCGTAGTATGCCCCTCGTGTCGCCTTGTGTAAAAGTGTGTAAGGGGCCGTCCATATATGACGTCACGCGATTTTGGACAATTTTTGACCCCCCCCCCTCGTCACACGGCGTCACACAAAGTCAGACCCCCCTCAAATGTGACGTCACAAAGCTCTGCCCCCCCCCCCCCCACAAAAAATAAAACATGCTTCAAATCGCTTTGAACTATTGTCATTGTAGTGCGTATTTAATGTGGCGCTGCACTCTGATGTTGTAGGAGAAACATTTACTAAAAAGTCAAATTAATTAAGTAGAACGTGTTGTCTATATTTATTTAAAGTTGCGCATTTTGATGTGATGTCACATTTCTCACCACCCCCCTCGTCACACATCGTCACAAATGTCTGACCCCGTCCACCCCCCTCCTCCTCTAGGTGCGTGACGTCATTTATGGACGGCCCCTTAAGATGCGATAGGATGTATCTGCTATATCAACTGGGATTGAACAAATCGATCGTAATATACCCCCTGGTCTCGGAATGTCAGCGTCGTTGAGCCTGGAAAGTGCTCGATGGGTGTCCACCATGTACAAGAACCAGGTGTTATAGGCGTTGTGGGCAGTAGAGGGCAGCAAATTGCGATGTAGTTGTCCTCCCACCTTCACAGACCCGCGTGATGTATGCGGAGATTGACAAAACGTCTATATATGTGCTTGTTTGCCTTACCTTGCAATTGATGGATTATGAAGGGATGCTGCTGCTCCAGTCTCCATAGAGGGTTTGTGGTTTCATTTCCTGTTTTTTGACTGGGCGTTGTGACACATCACCAACCATGACAATCCCCTGAGGTCAGGAGTTTATGAATCACTCGCGGGAAGTACCCGGCGTTGCCCGGGCCAAAAATATATTTTAAAACTTCTCTTAAACACCTTACATATACATACACAGATACTCAGCGATTGTGAAAGCCAGGTGGGCCGTTTGTCCATTTCTCCACTAACAAAATTATAAGAGGCTTGCACAAGTCCAAAAAGTTGTAGAAAGTGGTGGGTAAATGGTTGATCTAAAAGGTTTCCGAAAATTGTCGACCCCCCCCCCCTCCCTCAAAACATATATTTATCCCCGCGTAGGTATATATACCTACACACCCTACATACAACAGAGTAAGTAGTATCCATTGCCTCTGTAGTTGTATTTACTGACTGTACAGTAGCATCTACTGAGCCAGTAGTAGCTGACTGTATAGTAGTATGTAGCAGTATTTACTGACCATAGTGGCATATACTGACTGTTTTAGTATCTACTAACTCTATATAGCATGATCTACCAACTCGATAGCAGTATCTAACATCACTATAGCAGTGCATACTGACTGTGGTGGTACCTGCTTTCACTCTAGCAGTGCATTCTGACTATGGTGGTTACTATGATTACAGCAGTGCATACTGTAGTGGTACCTGCTATCACTACAGTAGTACATGCTGACTCTATAGCAGGTACCACCACAGTCAGTATGTACTGCTGTAGTGAAAGCAAGTATATATCGACTCTATAGCACAAAGTACTCACCTGACAGAGTTGCGTGGTGAGGTCTAGTCCCGTGCAGGGCCCCCGGCCTCGCCTAGATTGCCCAGCCGGCCGAGGTGGCACTTTGGCAGGCTCAGGGCTGGGCCGCTATCCCCCCCCCCAAACACCCCCCTTCCCGCGCTACAATAATATTATCTAAGCGCTCTATTAGTATTTACTGACCCTATAGTAGTAAGTGCACATATTGGGGTGGTGGGGGAGAAGAGGACATGACACTGATGAATTTACCTCAGCGTTGTATTTTTTTTTGCATTTTGAACGCGAATGAGAAATCCCCCTCCGCTAGGGGCAACCCCCGGGCAGCTTTAGCGGCACGAGGAAATAAAAAAATAGCACTCAATTGCTAATTTAACTACTTTAAAGTTTACGGATGGGAAAACGGAATAGTGCTGGCTCACCACGGGGCTTACGGCGTGGTACCCGGCTACTTTTTCAAAACATAAACCCCACAGCGAGCCAAATCCTTCGCAAGCGTGCGTCCACAAACAGATGGACACACAGACAAAAAATGTCTTTGAAAGGTAAGATGAAGAGATCAGGTGGGTAAGATTTCCAGCGTGCGGGCTAGTAATGGTAGTTCAACAAGTCTATTGATGACATATCTGTACTAATTTGAGTGTGCTCCTCCCATGAACATTTTTATTGGGGTTTCTTATAATTAAATAATTGACAGTACCTCCTCAAAACATGTTTTGACATTTCCCATTAAACTCGTTTACATTGACATGCCAATCTCTCCCTTTAACGCAGCTGCTGTGCGTATGGCGACAGACTCCTTTCCATCTCTGACCCCGCCTACTCACCCTTGGGTGACACCCACCTCAACCCTGTATATAACCTCTTGCTGCAGCAGTAGTTTCTTGTTCAGCAGTTCTACTGCTGTATATTTATACCTAATGACGATTTGCTTGTGTTGCGATCGAGAAGCCGTGATTTATTATTTATTTTTCCACCTGTGACTTTACCAAAAGAACCAAGGAGTATGTTGACACTCAGGCTGAATAAAGGACATTGGTAATAAGTATAACCAGTAAAAACAAAGTTTTTCACTATAAATCCTTTATATGCGTGGCGGCAAGAGTCCTCTCGTCCTCTGGCTTGAGATGGCTGCCACCTATGGGTCAGATGATTGTCTGCCAGTATTAAGCAATTGGTAATTAAATATTTAATTTGTTTTCCCTAAACAGTGTAAAATTTTGGAAAAAAAATTTTCACGAACATTAATTGTCTCGCACAACGAGTCTGTGTGCAAAATGTCAGCTCGATTGGATCACGGGAAGTGGGTTAAAAAACGACTGAAAGATTTGCACGGTCGTAAACAAGCAAGCATGCAAGCAAGCGAACTTAATATAAAGGATTTAAAAAGAGTTATTTGCCAAAACCCCGATAACTTAATGGGCTCTTCAGTAGGTATCGACTTCAACTATTTTTCGAGAATGTCTAAGGAGGCGCCATATGTAAGACGTTAAGCAGAGTTCAGCCTGGATAGTATTTGGATGGGTTACCACCAGCACGTATCTTGTGGGATTACGTTGCGGGAAGCAGAGGTAGTGCAGCTATACCCATAGCTGGAATGAACTGAGCTCCATTTCCCACATTCACCGACCCACACTAACCAACGTGAAGTGTGGTCATATAACCTCCGCAGCATGGTAAGGTTGACTGACATACATCTGTAATATGTCCATTACATGACACATATAGCTGATATGATTTATGTGTAAGTTTGGGGTTTAACTCACGTGACATTATACATCATTCTTCATGTTACTGCAGGGCAGTGCCTGCTATTTAACAATGTTAAAACCCACAGTTGAATGCAATTTCCTGTATTTAAGCATGTACAATATCCTGTAATCTGGTGATACAAACACTTTAGAGTGTTTATTTCGAAGTATTCACAAACAAATGTACCAGGAAACATAAGTTGAAATGCTCACAAATATAAAAACTCACTTTATTCCAAATTTAGTTTCCAATACACTCACAAGAATGTTAAACAAATTTCAAGAGTGAACTCTTTTCTGTTCACTAACCCAAATAAAAATGTCAAACTATTCCTTTAAAATTGTTTTTGCTGGGATGAAAACAGGCATACGATGACAATTACCACCAACATAAACAGGTCTAAAATACTTCAAATGTGTTTTTTTTATTCCACCTTCATTTGACAGTACATCTTGTTGAGGGCAAGCCTTGGGTCCCCTGCTTTACAAGTCCACCTGTAGGCAACGCCATCTACTGGAAACGTATCACCTTGCACACAAGCCAACCCCTGTGTCCTGATAGCCAACAGTGTAAATTCCTACGAAGTTTAGCTTTTACAAAAAAAATACGCAATCGAAGCATACAAATTGGCCACAGCTAATGGAAATTGTCCCCTACAATACCAACACACGAGTTACGGCCGCAGAAGAGCATCCCCAGTGCAATGTTAACCTGGGGAGAAAAGCGGTTCCCTTTCTCTTGGGAGCAATTTTCTCACCCCCGGTGTGTCTGTGCAGTAGCTTCTAACGTACGGGGGTGTGCAACCTACTGCGCACGGGCCGATATAGGCTCGCCAAGTGGTTTTGGACCGGCCCGTGAGTGCTCGAGATACATGTGAACGCTCGGAGTACCACTCAGCAGGCTATTTTGCTGTGACCAGGCTGGCATGCTGGTCTACGGACAACTGGATTCCAAATGTGGCCCACATTTAAAAAAAGGTTGCACACTCCCTGTTGTAATATACACTGTTGTAGATGTTGTTACACAATGGTCATTTAAATAAACTGCAACAACAAAAAGGTGACATTTACTTTTGACACTCCTCCACAACCAAGCGTTCATCAGGTTACTCTGTCCAGTAACACTGCAACAACGTGAGCCAACAAAAACCTCCAGAAGCTCAAACATCCATTAACAAAACACCGTTTATTTTCCAGTTGAGCAACAATGTGGCGGCAGATTTCTTTTGTGAAAAAGTACAACAGGGATGTTTTTGTTTGAATTCTTATCATAAATGCTCAAAATATGAAAGAGTTGGGTAAAATTACCACTTTCGAAGATGTCTAGTTTCACCTTGATGAAATAGGAAACTGCAAAGACAAATTATACCCAGACTCTGTAAGATAGCCACCTTGAGCCGACTCTAGTTGGCCTGAATTGCCCTGATTTCTCCCAGAACTCTAATTGAAGGAAAACTCGATTTGCCTATAAAGTGTTGTTTCCATGATATCCCGAGTTACCCGAGTTGTCAAGGAAGATGGGCAGGTCTTGCCCAGAAATAGATCTGAGCAGAACTTTCCCGTAAATACTTGCGAGGAAAAGTCTCAGGACCGTGTTGTTGACAAGATTAAACGTTCCCACCACCCACACATTTTTATCATAACATGTCCGGCGATGCATTTTCTCTCCGCCTCAATTATGACGAAGGGAATCAAGTGCATGAAGCTAAAGTAGCCTAGAAAAATTCGGGTAAGGCCCAAATTCACAACTTACTTGTCGTTTTGACCCAAAATAAGGAAACTTGCTGTCGGAATGGCAAACTCGGGTGATGTGGCTCATGAAAATGCGGTGTAAGTGTAAAGGAGATTTGTACGCAGAGTGGCTTAACTTCGTTGCTCATCATCGACGCTGCAGCGCTCATATGTCTGCTATAACCTCCTCAATCTCCTCCTTTGTGTACATGTGGAAGAGTTTACCCGGCTGCACCGTGGCCAGCTGTTGACAGAATAGGAAAAGGTTTAAGTGAATACACAATCCATGAATTTAAAAAAATATTCATACAGAGCAACTGTATTTGGCAGATAACAAATCACTTCCATGGTGAGATCAATAATCACGATCAGGGTCACAATTCTATTTCAAAATCTTATCTTTGTAATCTGTATTTCCCGGCACGTTTGATCCATCCTTTTTGTTTCGTCCCATTCTTTCCATTGACCAAAAGGTATAAATAACTTTCAATCCCTAATATAAATCATACATGGGTCATTAAATGCCGAATAATAAAAAAGGGTGGAATTGATACGACCGTCATCTATTCGGACGACACCTGGCATTTAGCTCTGTGTGCAACAGGCAAGTTTAATTTAAGGTTAATCCGACCTCATGTTTCACAGATATAAGAAATCAAAGTTTTACCATGACCACTCGGCAACCGTCTAGGTAGTATGCATTCCCTTTGTTGAAGTTTGTCATTTTAAAGCTCTTGATGAAATCTAACGTTTCTACTCTATGGCAAAAACGTAGAAATGGAGGACAAAAACTCGACGTTATTTTTGACTATCACCTTGCTCAAATATCGTAGAGTACAGACTTGCCAATCATTCCTGCAAGTGTAAAAGTGTACATGTACTCCAATACTTTGGGAGTTACGATCATGTTCAGATGCCAAGAGATGATTCTGGTCGGCTACATAGATTTCACCTGACTGTTTAGTTTAGTTCCCACTTCCACCACTGGAGGTGCTAAAGGCAGTGGTGAAGGTCACCCACTGGTCACGGTGGGTGACCTGTATCCGAGCAACAGGAGGCTGGATTGACTGAACATTTGGGTGGAGGCTTTCTTTGCCAAATACAAATCTAATGATATAGGTTTTTCACGGCTCTATGTAATTACCACACGTTCCTGTGAGTCACCAGAACTTATACAAGTGGTAGCAAAACCTCATCTGGATCGACCGCACTGCCAGAAGATGCCTCCACATGGGAGGCGGCGGAACGTCGCGAGGGAGAAGACGAGCAGCACTCGCCACGGCTATCCCGAGAGACCAGCTTTGAAGCCCATTCCTCAATTACAAAATCGATCTTCCGAATTAAAATCTAAATTGATTTGGTCAACTATATTCTTGATTGATTTGCAATACATTTTTCAACGATGCGATGCGGGTGTTCCAGGGATAACCTTTAACCAACACTGTAAAAGAGATATAGACGACACAATAGATTGACATGTTTTTAAACAAACATATCTATATCAGTGGCAGTATGATTTGCAAGTCACCTCGATGTTGGTTGCATTGAGTTTCTCCTCCATGACCTGCTTGAGGATGGTTAGGGAAGTCTTGATGGCTTCTTTCAGGGTCATAGACTGGAAGCCCACACACACCAGCATATATCAGTTAATGAAAGCAATATTGTCGTCGGATTCAAAACAACATCAAACAGTAGCTGCTCAGCGGTATTTTTACAACCATAATTTAAATTCATACACCATCTAACTTCAACTCTATCTCAATACGCTTGACAACAACGTTGAGTGGATAAAGTGAAATGGGAAGTTGTGGGGTGAGGGCAAGGGAGACGAGAGAGGGGAGAGTAAGCAAGCAGCGACAGCAACGAGCTCTTGTTTGCCGTCAAGTGCTGCTGCACACTGGTGTCAGAGCGGACCTTGTGGTAGACTTCCTGAAGAGAGCTCTGGGCGCCTTCGGAAGCCGAGCCAATGGCACGAGCATCGCACTGTACGAAGGTGCCCGATGGGTCCATGTGGAAGCTACGGATGTACACACACGCACACACATTCAGCCAAACATTAGCTCAGTTAAACTGGTGCTTTTGTTGTCAGGGAGCACCCATTATGGACAATACAGCAACGTGTCTGGCTACCTCTATTTGCCTATAAACTATTCTAAACACAATTGGACCAAACAATTGGGTGGTTAAGGTAAGAATATGGTAAAAACCTTGAACTTTGAAAAAAAGTATAAAACTTGCCATGAACATTCATTCATTTTCTTTGGGTTTTTCAGGTAAAGTCTCGTAGATAGTTGTTTTAGACTCACGGATCACCGTCAAGTCTAAAAAACATCTTCGCCCACGGCCATGCACAAATAACATATTTTAAAAATTAAAACGACTCTCCATCTTGTAGAATCTGCAGCAGTTTTATGGACCACCTTCCCATGGCATTGCGGACCACTGGGTGGGAACCACTGCCATAAACAATTTATGATAATGGTACCACCACCCAAGCGCCTCCTCGTGGCCAAATTAGGAACCTGTGTGTTTCAGCATTTTGCTGAAAAACTAAAACTGAATAAAAACCTTTACATTTTCAGAAATTATTGTTGAAGCAGGTTTTAATAACAATTTAAATAAATATAGAATATATATTTGATACAGGAGACATGTTTTTACAGTATTCCCCAGACTGGCCTTAACAGCACTTACACCGAGCTTGGCATTCCTTCTTACTACTTCGGCACATCAACAAAAGCACGGCGTGCTGTTTTCTATCTGCTTGTGTCAGTGCGATATTCTCTGCGGCTTGCAATCTTTTGGAAAACAAAACTACTTCCTGCCTTTGTTGACAAAAGAGCTGTATAGACCTGGGATAGTTACAGGAAGACTGTCAGCCGAAATTACATTGTCATTGCAATTAACTATGACTTAAATGAATGCCATTGTCCCAAGTTCAGTCATTGACCTTACTCAACACAACTATTTTATTGAGTGCCTTGGTATCATCTGACATGCGTGGTGGGGTTACAGCCAATGTAACAAAAAGGCACTTGTGAATTCAGGAAACATGCTCCAATTGTACATGCAACACATACTGGAATGTTTAAGACACAAACACATTAGGTTTCCCCAAGGAAACCGGGGGACACTGCCAAGTGAGGTCCATATCGATATACAACACCTGGCATTGCATATTTGTGGCAAGTGTCATGCTTATAAGCCAGAGTGCAAGGCTTTGGCTTAGCCGCCCTGCCACAATGACTAATTTCAGGACAAATTGAACTCAAAATAAATGCACAACGAAAAAAAAGATTCTAACTTCCAAACATTGTTCATTGCCAATGAAGGCAATGCTTGAGAATTGTTTTCCCTACTCATCAATAAATCAATAATTGACAAACACACACACTGTTGGGAGAAAGGTTACAGGCAACTTAATGTAGCAGGGCACTTCTCCACTTGCCCGTGTGTGTGTGTATGATGAATGCGGCTCCTAGACGTGCGCAATAATACGTACAGCTGTGGTCCCTTCTCGTCGATTCCTCCAAAGAGCAGCGCTACTCCAAACGGGCGAGACTGCGGGTGGGAAAGAAGCATTGTGAACGAAAAGAGCGGTTCCATCTCAGAGGAGCTCAAAGAAAACAACCACATCAGGAGAAATGTGATGGACGTGGAAGCACCAGGGCATACACAGATAGGTCAGCCTATGAACCGGTGGTTGTAAGTGGTGAACTAAGATATGAAGGACTGTGGAGTGGACATGGATATGGCCTCGGACTGGAATGAGTAGAGAAAGACAAGGAAAACAGACCCCACAGCGATGTCATGAGACACACCAATCTTAATATTATGTGTATACAAAGTGAGCCCCATCAGTAAATAAAAAGTTATTGCAAGGTTTAAATTTCCAGGTTCAGGAGTTAACGGAAGTCCTGTGGGTCTTATTTTCATACCAAGTCCGCGTGCCAGGACAGGCATCACTCACCATAGCACCAGGCTCGGCATCCTCCTCGCCGAACTGCAGTGCCAAGTTGGACACGGCCTGCGTGACGCTCTCCACCGTCATCCGCTCGTTGTACGTGAACCAGTGGTTCTGTATACGCAGCGCACACATCCCACGTTGCTCCATTGAATTCTGTCTCTCACATAATTATGTCATTAAACATTAATCGTAAACTTCAAAATGTACAACTCTGTCAATATATTGGTGGATGAAAGCTTCACCAAGCTGTGTCACTCGTGGGGGCTGGTTTGACCATACTTCACCAAACTGAACAGTGGAATTTGGTGAATGGGCAGGGGGGGGCAAAGATCAGTTCAATTATCACTCGCCACTGATGTTAGTCGTGGCTGAGAATGAATCCCAGGTTGGAGGGTTTATAGTGCAGTGCACTAACCACTGCTCCACTGTTGGGACTTTTCAAATTTAGTTTTGTGGCATACCAACAAAATTATAAGAAATTACATTTTCAAAAGCTCTTAAGAATTTTTCTCACACCTGACAAGGGTTGAACCGGGCAAACAGAAAACTGGACATTTGCCCGGTAAGTCAGTCCTGGAGTTGTGCCACCATTTACTACACCCAATTTCAACCAGCTGGCAAATTTGGGCCAGTTGCTACAAGGCAGCCCAACTCCAAAATCGACTAAAAAGACAAATGCTTGGTTGTATGGTAGGTCAGTCCAATCATGTCAAGCAAACGTGTTTGTATATGCGAGTTTACAGAGTCCAGGTGGTTGGAAATGAGAAGCGACACGGAGCGAGAATCTGAACAGTGTTACAATGAAAGATACCTGAGCTTCAACTCTTGCCCTGTCTGTAAGTGTCCTGGCATCTGCAATCAGCCCACTCATTGCACAACCTAAAACAAAGTAACAAAAACACAACCAATGCAAGATACTGTTTACAAACAATGTCATTATCACTGTATTGTTTATTTACATACAATAAGAACATAAATAAACAGACTTCTGTTCATTTTACAGACCCTCTGTAACAAGACTATCCAGAAGTACGTGTCTTAGCAAGCCAACTCTATCGGTTTCAACAGTTTGGTCTCATCAGCAGATTCAGGCTTGTCACAAAAATACGGCTGGGTTTCAGACAACTCGTGCTGTTGTAGACCAATGTGTATTACGATGCATGAACAGAATGACATCTGTCTTTCCATAAATAAAACATGTACTTCTTATAGTTTACTTAAGAGTGATGAGAAAGTAGTGTTACTAAACACTGAACCATTAAAACCCACGCTAAATCTAACAGTTGCTAACATTACATTGAATTCACAAATGGCCATGTTTAAATGTTTAAAATACGACATTCGCACCTCCAATTACCATGGTTGGCAGTCCTTGGGTTACGAACCTAATTCGTTCCTGAGACCCGTTTGTAAGTCGAACAGTTCGTAAGTCGGAATATAATAACGCAATGCATTTAAATGCCCATATGGTCAATGTTGTGAAATGTGACGGTTCAACAAAAGGGAAGCATTGTTAAACTAATTACATCTCGTGGAGGATTGCTCCTCTGAAAAAAGATAGTTCTGCGGTTCAGTTTCAAATTGCGCGTTTGCATTTTAAGTCAATGTTATTTTTTTATATTTCACGGAAGCTGGTTCGTAAGTACGGGCGTTCGTAAGTCACGGCCTGCCTGTACATACATGAGTGCTCACAAGATATATTTAAGAGCAATGTTGTGCTATGCAAAGGGCACAAGGAGAGGCTTTTGAAAGGCCCAGTTTACATAGTAGGAGCAGCGTGCGCGCTGGAGGTAAGTGCCCACGAACCTATATGAGAGTCGATCTCCACAATCTTCTCGATGCTGCTGGGCTCCATGAGGGGGGACGTGATTCTCTTCTCCACCGCCAGACAAACGCCCTCCGAGGTCTGGATACCAATCGCAGTCGAGCCGAGCTGAGTGGCAAAAGCAGCAAAAGGCAACGTCATTTTTATCACTCCCTTCACGTCTGAATGCGCGACTATACAGCTCTTTTGTCACTCCACTGCTGAAGGTTTTCCCATGTAGTGCGAGGCATTTGGTAATTTTAGCATACTTCACCATGCTGTTCAGTGTAGGCTGAATGTGTACGCATGTATGTTGAACTTCTTTCACACCGTGCGTACCAACCGTGCTAATCGTAAGTACGGGGAAGGAAAACATGCGTGTTGCATAGACGTGGCAGCTTAGAAGTGCAGTACAATTGTGGATTTTTCTGCACTGCCCTCCGCTGCCCACCAAGCAGCCCTGCAACTTAGCCCGCTGTGCATCCTGGCCACACATCCCAAGCACTGTCCAGTCTCAACCTACTTCGCCGAGATTCTCCTGTGACTAAAGCACCTGGAACACACACACAATAGAGTATGTCAATGGATCCTTACCTTGATGGCTTCGATGGCATATTCCACCTGGAAGATTCGTCCTTCAGGCGAGAATGTGTTCACACCTCTGCAAAAAAGAACGAGGTTCGCATTATTTCAAAGTGACAACACTTGACTCCGGGTGCAACACCAGCACCACAGCAGGTGTCTGACTGCTGCTCAGGCAAGCATTGAGTGGAGCGCATCTTTATCGGTGAAAATTACACATTCTTAAGGAGTAGGCCGCTCTACGAAGAGAGAATTTCTGTCTTGCTGCAAAGCAAGACAGAAAAAACGATGAAGCGGAATTCCCACCATTGGCTCAGACCCACCTACCGAGATGAACCACTTTTAACTTTTGACCAAGAGTGATTCATCTAAAAAACACACATTACCTGTCATACTCTGAGCGTGTCAGAAACATCTTCTTTCAACGCTAGCACCTGCGAACACACACGCTAGGGTCAGACAGCGGCTTATAACGAACACGACTTTGACGATAACGATCAGGTGGTGATGATTTAAATGAGTGATACTGTTCGCGATTGCTGCGGCGATGGAAATAAAAACGATGCCAATTGATGATGGTGTGAAAGGAATCATGACACCGACATTAATGATTAGTATTAATGATTGAAAATCGATCATGGATTAGCCTATTTATGGCAACTGTTTTTAAAAAGTAGTAACGACAATGATGACAATCACGATCATTACGAATGGGATTGATCTCATAACGGCAGGCCGCGATTAAAACAATTAAACATGTCAATGACGTAACGAGGGTAACAATATCTTTATGAAGACATTAACGGCGGAGGTAATGTTGGAAGTGAGGACAACACTGGTGACGGTGATGGTAGCGACAACAAAGTTAATAATACATCGTGACCGGCGATTGTTGTTGACGGCGATGATGGCGTTTTAAAAAAAACTCTTCTGCTGCTGCAGACGTTTAATGACGACGGCGTGGCAATCTAGCACAACGATAACAGCGGTACGGCCTGCAACGTTAGCACAGCAAGTGCTCGCTACAAGACCACGACCATCACGGGTTGATAATAACAACAACAATAAACGTTTAACGCCGATTATTAACAACAAAACCCGCGTCGCGCCGACTGCACTCGAGCGCGAAACGTCGCCTCCATTCAACACTCGGCCCAGGCCCTTCCCACCACGGCACACCCGCGACGGTGCAGCCACGCTCAGGCGACGCGCGCAAAGTTAATCGCTGTCGCCGTGCTAGTTCGAGGTTTGTGTATTTTGTTTAAATTTGGTTTAAGGTTTTAAAAAAAAAATGTGTCGGTAACGAAACTCACGCGGCCCTCACCACAGCTTTTGTCGACTCACGAGAACGCGGTGCCTTGTGGGAACACGTCCGGGCGAGAACCGCGGGATCACAACATTCGTTCCGGACGCGTGATTGGCATTAAACGTTCCGGGTCGTGCTCGGGAAATCTGAGCTGATGTACGTTTTAAATATAGCGCCTTATTCTAAGGCACTTAACAACATTTATTTAAAAAATTACATACAATCCAATTCCGTTGAACACAATATTTGGTGATCCTGCTGGGTTGGCAGTGGTGCATTTGCAACGAAACCTGCATCACTGGGGTTTGTACTTTCAAAAGAGGGCAAGTGGCCGAAACGTCGCCAATTATATCCGTACAGTGTATTTACATCTTTAAGGCAACGTTATTAACAAATTTATTCAATTCAATTGAGCGCCGTTACACGAAAGCAAATATAAGCATAATTCCCTGCAATGTCCACAAATTAATAGATTATTTTTAATCCTTCAGCACATTTACTTTGCAGCTATGCCACTCTTTATCAAGAAGCAGCATTTGTTTTAAATCAAATAAACTTCCACGCCTCATCAGCAGTGCCAGGCTTGCGAGACAAATGCTGCTGAACTCCCCACTGACACCAGTCACTGACTATTCACGAGATGCCAGCCTCGCTGCTGATCTCAAGATTGAGCTATAAAGCATCATCAGGCTAACTCAGCTTCATTGATTAGGTGTAGCCCTGTGAGCCATTCGGCTCTTGAATCGGGTGCAACCGCAACAAACTAAAAACAAAAACATGAACAAGAAAACATCTTAAAGTCACTAAGCGCAAACAGAAAAATCCAGGAAAAAACAGCAAAATCTTCCAGAAAAAAAGCACCGTACACCAACGCTGTGTGCAAAAATCCCAGTGGGGTGCAAGTCAAACAACAACAACCACGAGACAACTTAGATTAAAACCATCATTCTAACTCTGTACTACAACAAACAAACATGGCCGAACCAAAAAACTTTTCGAAATCACCAAAATAAAGCCATAAAAGCAATTAAACAGTGATCATAGGAACTGTGACCGAAATTTCACAATAAACGACATAAACAACATGTACCACCACCAAACCCTGCAGCCACAGCTGGCTGCATGAGTCACTCCACAACAGCAGCAGGAGGATTGGCTCAACCTGGCAGCAACAGCAGCGGATTGTGGCTCAGACATCTAACAAAGACGCTAACACCGCATCGCGAGCTTTCAGATGCCATACACACTACACTAGAATACACTACACTGGAATACACTACACTATACACTACACTAGAATACACTACACTATACACTACACTAGAATACACTACACTATACACTACAATAGAATACACTACAATATACACTACACTATACACTACACGATACTACACTATACACTACACTAGAATACACTACACTATACACTACAATATACACTACACGATACTACACTATACACTACACTAGAATACACTACACGATAATACAATATACACTACACTATACACTACACTACAATATACACTACACTATACACTACACTATACTCTACACTACACCTTTGACTCTCCATCGAACAAAGACGGCCACCGCATCGCGCGCTTCTAGATGCGCTTCTGCGGCCGTCTGGAACGCTCTTCCTTCCGATATTAGGAATCCACTGGAGATTTGCACTTTTAAACCACCTCGTTTGAAAACTCATTTATATCAAGCTGCATTTTGTGTTTAGTTTGTTGTCCACCATCGCACACACACACGGTGCTACATACACAACAACCGCCACTAAGTGGCGGTGACGTCACCACGACGCTTGTGCCAGGCTATGTGCACCTTGAGGCCGCGTGAAGTGTCGAATGTACACACAGACGCGCCCACCTCGTGGGTGCAATAGCGCGTTGCACCCAGCAAGGGGCACCGCCATTCACTGCGCTTTGCATGCGGCCACGGAATCTTCAATCGCACGGGGCTCTCAAGCAGAGCGCCCACTGGGTCAGTGCTGATGGAGTGATGATGGCTTTAGAACAGACGTCCAGTGACATTTAAAGTCCAGTCGAAGGAGACATTTTCACCCAGGGTGTTTATACAACTGATGAGCTACCGGACACCATTCTCTCTCCACAATACGTGACCCAACCCAATAATCATTATTGGGTTGGGTCACGTTACGATCTGGCCAAATTTATATCGCAAGAACATCCACAACCCAACATAACCACACATTGATTTGCCAATCATTTCACGCGCTAATTATGCATTGTTTCAGCTCACTTACTGGCGACAAATTAGTCTGGCTACGTCAGGTAGTGGAGGCCTTTTCGACACAAACTTGGCCAAATCATTACGTGGCTTAACCCAAACATGAGTTATGAATCATATTGCCTGCGAAAAATGTGTAAAGAAAATACATTATTTGGCGATACTGCATTGGCAGGTGCATACGCACAATGAAAAAGCTACGTGTTTACGTATAGTCTTTATTTATCATATCCATCCTTTATCCCTCTTTCTCAACATCTTTTTGGCCTCAGATCATTTGTTCTCTACGTTTTAACATCCCTTCGCACGTTCAATCCAAGATACATTCCAAAGGGTGGATTTCCAACAATAAAATCTTCGTACAAGGTCGAAGTCCAATATTGGAGACTGCCCGGGTCGCTTGCATTTTCCTTCAACTCATACGAGGTGGGGGGATTATGGGAACCGGTGGAGGGGACATTCCTCAAGTTCTGGGTGAAGGAGGGGAGGTTGGAGAGGGTTACTCAGGAATGGACCTCACACCTTCTTGGATAATGGTTGATGATACAATTCAATAAGAACTGCATCACTGAATTTGCATAAACTGGCTTAATAGTGAGCGCATTAACCTTAATTACATCCAAAACAAGAATTCAAACCTCAATAGCTGTTAAAATACACACACAGGATGAAAGTATTTATTTCTAATTTTTATTTGTCCAAATGCATATACACAATCCAACCAAAAACGTACCAACTTCAAGATGAAAACAGATCCTAGCATGGGCGGTTTCTCATTTCCGGGATTTAACAGAGATCGGCGTTCTCTTCACAGACCCATGGGCTCATCATGCAGAGAAAGCAACTTTGACAATAACTCCCATCTCGATCAAGCCACCTTTTCGAAACGCGGCAGCCTCCTAAAACAAACTCAGAGCACAACTAACAATCATAGCAGTGTAATTTGCTTTAAAAAATGTCAAACTCATAAGTACAAATACCTATGGATGTAAGCGTTTAAAGACACACGAAAATATTAACACCCATAGCTTGATTTTTAACGGAGCAAGGTGTAAACTGTGAATTGCCCCAACTCTGCTTAGACCATAGTCACACACGACAATTCATTTATTAACGTTGGGCGCAGGTGGTGCATGAAGGCTGCGTGACTTACAGTATTTATTCTAATCGTAAAACACAAGACTTCAAACAAGCAATGAGAATTAAATCCTACGCTCTATTAACGCTGCAATATTTAAATTTGTGAAAAGTCTAATACTAATGTTTGCGAATCACACGAAAAAATATTTAGACATCTCACAGGGTTCATGTGCAGGTGTTCATCACAATCACTCAGTCAGCTTTGTCTCGGCAAATACGCCTGCACGTTTGGAAGTGTTTAATCAATGAAATAAAGCGACTACCACTGTCTAAATGATTGACTTGTCCTTACACAAGCCCTCTACCCAAAAGATGTCTCTAAATGATATTTATTTTTAAATGCTACAAGAAGTCAATGACATTCCAATCAAGGTAAAATAACTTCATGGCATACAGGATTGAGTGTTAATAAACATTTTCAACCCATGGTACTCATTCAGTAATGAAACCAAGTGCTAAGGCACAAACTAATGGCAACCTTTACCGAGCATTAACAAGGCCGCCTGTTGACATTTGGAGGAGCGACGTTGAGTGCTGCTCACTTGACAACACGTCAATCTTAAGCAGACAAAGCACCACCCTCATGGCAAATAACTTTGAAAGAATTTACATTTTCCACAACTTACAATAAATTTTAGTTACGCATTTTCAGGCACTTGAGTACAACGCATGTGCTGCACAGTCGTCATTCATAAATGACGAAACACTATTGTGACCATTTGGGAAAACTTGACGAGTGCACTGTATTTCCAGGTAGATCAAAATTAATCTTTGGCAATAATTGTTCACTCTGAACAAATACTCAAATTAAGTTGTTGAACGTGCCAAATTTAACCTACACGTTGGTATCTCAGTTTTTTTTTCGCGATAACTCCGGTTGACCACCTTTAAGTCAATTTGCAACGAACATTTGTGTCTCCATAGCAATCCTCTCTATTGATTAGTAACCATCGGAGAGTGGGGGGGGTATTCATCAGTGAATGCATTGGTATCCAACATTGAGCACTTACACATACTGCTGGATGCGAGAGGCTGCTTGTGTATTTGGCACCGAGCAATGGCAACAGCAATACTGGTCAGAATGTGTTAACAACGATCTTGGCCTCTCCGTTCGCAGGGCTCTGCAACCTGCGGCTTCGGAGCTGCTGCGTGCGGCTCTTTAAGGGCCGCTTTGTGATGCCATTCATGAAGGACCACCGTCTGGTATGCACCAATGCATTGCGGCTCTTGAAATATTGATTTTTTTACACCGAATTAGAAAAAAATTGGCTTTGTTATTTTGGTTGCTGACCCCTGGGTTCGAGCATGTGATGTAATATCATCACAGAATCGTTACATTTTCATGACATCGAGCACACTATAGCAAAGTAGAAGTTGGATGTAAACACACCCCTCGGGAGTAGTCACACTGGGGGTGTGCTTGTACGAGTAGTTGCCCTTGGCCTTGCACCCACCAGTGTGATGTCAGCATGCGTTGCCTATAACAGAACTGTGCTTATATACAATGTGTGCTCATGTCCAGATTATACTGTACTGTTTTAGCACAACATTGAGGGTTTTGAGGCATCATGATTGTTGCTATAAAAAATAGAACTAAGTTCCTCAACAGATGAAGACCGAGCTCGCACTGGGATGGGAATTCTGCCTCTGTTTTATTACCCATTACATGCGGTGACGTAAGACCGAAGATTACGTAGACCGTCTAATGGTCGCTTAACTTGATCACATATGTGAATGTTTAATGCGGTCCTGTGCTTTAGGTACAGACGTTAAGCCCGCTTCTTTGTCCCTCTCACTCGAGAGTAAAGGCACTGGTTGAACTTGAGGAAATGCACCTTGCGCTAAATGCGAACCTTGGCGATGGGGTTAAGCGATTTTGGCTGGCTGGGGCTAAGTAATTACATCAAAAATATGCAGTACAAATGCAATTCTTACGTAATGCATGAAATATGTGAATTTGTAATCTTGGTGGGAAAAATGTTTCCAGTGACTTCAGTGACTTAGAAGTGCAAGGTAAAACAAGTGGCCGTTGCTGGTGTTCTTGTATGCACGAGTGATTTTTGCAAACTGCCGCCTTCAAACTCGCACGGCATTATCCACCGTGGCAAAATAATTAAGATTTTTTGGCAACACAAGGAAATTCCAGTCGGATGGTTTGTGCTTGCTTGCATTTCAAATGGCATTTGAAATGTTAGCAATTTCTTTGCTATCTAAGCTTAAAAAATCCTGAGCTATTCTGTAGCAACTGTAAGGCACAAAATATTAATATTTTTTATCAAACTATTTAGAACACATGCAATAAAAAAAATCCAATGGGCACAGCTGGAAAATATGCATATTTCTCAGGGCAAGATGTCATCAAGGCCAAAGCCATTGATACCCGCACACCTCACCAACACTCTCTACCCTCTACCAGATGTCACAGCTGCTCCACAGCAGACACTTAATGTCATCACTTCGAGTTTTTGTGTATAAGAACCTTGAAGTGTGTATGTGTTGTAAAGCATTTTAAAGTATAAAACCACATGAAATGAGGTCATGTTGGTAATGGATTTATCCGTATGCGAGCTGTATGCATATCCTCAATTTATTTTAGTTGGTAGATCAAAAAACCGACTGCTATATCACATGTATGAGTGGCTACCTGCTTTGTTGATATGACCTTGTGCTTAAAGCAAAGATATGGAATTTAAAACCCAAATACAACAGAACTCAGTTTTAAAGTGGAGGCAAAAACAATAACTCCACCTTGATGAGAATGATCTCATCTGGCACGCAGTGGGCTTCTGTCAGTGATAATTGAGGGTCACCAATAAAACATACAACTTTGTCAACAAGTGCGTGTGAAATTTGTAATGAAAATCTACTCTGGGTAGTTCCTAACAATGGCACCGTTATCATTGGGCAATTTCGTGATAAATGTACTTTGCTGATCAATCAATGTGGAGTTCTGGATTATAACTTTTTGTTTTAAACTAGGAATGATAGGATTGCATGTCAACAATCGAGATACCAGATTGAGGTGTGTAAAATAAACCCACATTCCAAAATTACTGTAGTGTAAAACAAAAATGAATGCAACGTCTCGAACTTTCTCTTTTAAACGAGACAGTAGTAATTAAAAAAAACCTAAACGAATTCTCGCAAACCTATGCACGTCACACTTCACTAGGACAGGCGGATTGGTTTCCTGGTCGTTGACTTGCCACGCTCACTGCCCATAGGTGGCAGGGCCTGTGGCAGGGCCCTTCGGCGGGTTGGTGGCGGCCGAGCTTGGCTCCGCGTTGCCATGCCAAGCCGTTTCCTTGTAGGCGAACCACACGTTTCCCGACCACAGGATGAGGTTCAAAAAACCGAACACCTGCCACATGCAAACACAAACGCGCGCACGTACACACACACAAAGACACCCATTAGAGCATTGTTATATACGTCAATAAAACTTCTTGCAGCTGCACTAACTGGGGGCGAGAGCCATTTTGCATAATCCCAAATTCCCGTCGACTCGTGTTCACGTATTTTGCCAAAGCGGTGTTCATAGCGAGGCATTTCAGATGTCGCTGCAATGCGGTGCTGACGGCCCTCGCACATTTTCTATTTACATTGGATCACCTTCACGAGAGTTATCGTGACCCCATGTTACAAACGGACGGACAGCCGGAGCCAACGAGAGAAATGCACACACCACGGACACGTTGAGGCTCGACATGATGGCAGTGGCTCCGCTCGTGCAAATCTTCTGCTCCTGACAGATGGAGATGAGCTTGTAGACAGTGTCGGGCATCGTGGAGATCTTGACGTCGGCGAGGCCCTTGGCCCAGGCGGAGGAGCTCACGAGCCACATGAAGGCAAAGAGTGCAGTTATCACGAAGTCCTGTTGGCAGAGCAGAAGAAAAAAACCCCGCTGGCTCGTGAAGTTTGCTAAAAATCACCGACAGATTTTTTTCCCCCATTATTGTTCACTAGCTGTGTAATACGCGGCTAATCTGTATGTATGGTGGAACGGTGGTGCCGTGGTTCGTGCACTGGGCTATCAACCCGGCGACCTGCGTTTGATTCCCGGTCACGGAAAATATTTGTGCTCGTGATTTGTTAACTGGTCCTGGGCTCCCACTGCCTTCATCAACTTGCACTGACACGCGTGGTAATGTATGGTCAAATAACCGCCACGGTGTGGGGGAGGCCCTCATCCAGCAGCAGATTCTCAAAAGGTCCGTACCACGTTCGAGCACATTTTTTAACAACGTCCCTTGCCCTTCAGTTTCTTAATCCTGACTTCAACACTGTACACCTATAGGCTAAACAGCAAACTCCCCTTGCATCTGTATCTTGTCTAAATTCATCACGCATTTCCATAAATAACATTCGTAACAAGTCCGTTACACGATTTAAATGGAATTTTGTTGTTGTCGTACGCGGTTGCACGTTCCTTCTTTTACACGCCAAAGATCAAGCTGTGGTTTTTAAAACGAAACACCGTAACGCGCGCGTGTGTGTGTGTGTGTGGAGTTGCCGCCGATGAATGGCCGTGCGTACTATGAGGGGTCCGCGGTACTGCTGGTACTTGGGCTGGTAGAACGTGTACACGACCAGGGCAAACAACGAGTAGAGGAAGGCAAACACGGCGATGGTCACAAAGAATTCGGCCGACGAGGAGAAGTCGCCGTAAAGGTTGCCAACGTCCTTGGGGTTCGCCGTACAGTTGGGCACCGGGAATGTCACTTGGTTTAACCTGCCGGGGGCGTGACGCATGCAAACACGTGCAACACACACACGTCAAAACACACAACACGCACTACATGTATGCATGCTGAACTTCTTTCGCAGCATAGGTAGCCAACCATGCCAATCGGAGGTAATACCTACCATGCATTAGTTTGCTGTCATTCTCCCACGCCTCCCATTAACATGGTTGGCTTCATACTGATCGAAAGAAGTTCAACATACCAACATACATACAAAACCATCACGACCGCTACAAATGGAACAGCTGAAGTCCACATTTGCTGTACCACCTGCTGGCAAGCTTGGGAAGGGCACCATGACACCCACAGGAAGGGAGTTTCACAACATGTGTGTGATCCACCCTCGCTTTCCACACTGCCGGATTACAGGCCATTAACTCTCTCCAATTGAGACACCCGGTTTAATCATACAGGCGACTGCCTCGATCCTCACCTAATGAGCTCAGCTGTGCCGGCCCAGGGCTCCGACCAGAGCCACCCGATCAATTCCAAAAATGAGAAAAGATTTAAAAAGCAGTGGCATAGCCTAAAGTGTAATAATTCTCAGCTCTAATGTGCAGTTGCCGTGTGAAATTTAGAGGGGCAAAGGGGAGCATGGGTAGGGATGGGAATGGAATTAAGGGAATTGCTATTCTTTAATAACTTTAACTGCACATTTGTATCAAACTATAGTAAAAAAAAGTTTTCGGCTAGATGACCTGGGTGGATTCCTGCCTGGCTGGGAATCACGCTTACAAGTGTACATGCGCGATATCACAGAGATGGCAAGAGAAAGGTGGAGTGACAGGGTTCTATCGAATAATAAAAGTGTTGCTGGCTGGCCGGCTGGGAAGGACGAACAGATGTTCACATTCAAAGTATGTACGGGTTGCTAGTTATGAATACAACAGTTTAAACTATTGTGAGCCTACATAACATATATAGGCTTAATGCATTTACTATTTCTACATAGTAAGTTTCAGAATAACTTTATACACAATATACAGGGTAAAATGCATGTAATCATACATGAATACTACATATATGTGCATTGATTGTATTCATATCTTGAAATCAGAGTTAATTTCTTACCTGAATGGATAGCTGAAATCAATCCTTGTCTTGTTGGTCGAGTTATTCTTGCAGTTCACCAAGATTTCAAAATAGCCGGAATATCCACCACAGGTTGCAAAGGCAAAGATAGAAAAAATCTAACAGGGAAAGCAACAATATCAGGTTACAACACAATCCTAAATACATGACCCAATCACAGTGCAAACCGTACTTTTGTTTCATGCAACCAACCCATGATACATGTTCGTACAACACACATCAAGTTTCACATTTATAGAAGTTGTGAACGAAGATCATTGGGAAAAGAATCATTAAATATTCAGAGGCCACAAACATACAATAGGCCAGGTACAGCAAATGTTTCTTAGACCATCAACCACATTCGTAACATCAATCAGATTCTCAAAAAGACTCATGAATATAAAATACAATTACACGCTTTTGTCGAATATGAAAAAGGATTGCTGCACCCACAAGACTGCGAGAGATGGCAACAGCTTGGCGAGGCCTTCGTTTGTCAGCGGAGAGATCGTGGATGGTGATGGTGAAGTTTCAATCACCGCAACCTTGTATGAACACGTCATCGTCATCCCTCATGAACCCACAATGCCACAATTATTTTGCTCTTGCGCATGAGCTAATCTCATCGCTCCAACCCCGTGGTAGTTATCCTCTTAGACGTGTTCCTTCCTTTGGCTGCCATTGCATCACCAGTCTCAACCATCCATTCTCATTCCTGCGAGCGGTGCGTCCTTCCCAAACCAACCCTTCAATGTTCTAAGGCAGGAACAAAACCAATGACACACACATAATAAATGTGCAGAAAACAACTTTTTATATTACGGGTATTCACCACACAGTTGGTCATTAACCCAATACAAGCCACATACATCTACTACAGGATTGCAAACCTTACTAGTTTAAGTGACTAAAAGTGATGCTCACCACTTTTTTTTGCAAAGTAGTTGTATTTCACAATACTGCCTCCTGCTAGGCTTTGTGGGGTGTTTAATCTATGTATAAAAGGGAGATTTGCGAATGTGTGTCTGTTCGAAATGTTTAGCATACTTCCCGACATGCAACAAACTTGAAATTTGGCATGTGGGTAGCTTCCAGACTGTACACAATGCAAATAGACTTTTGTATTTGGGGGGAGAATGACCATGACGGTGTGTGGCTGTCAACCCGCATACAGGACTGGCGAGAATCGATATCTGGTGAGCGTTTGTGGTATCGATTAAACTGGAATACGCCGATTCTAAAAAAATCTACAACCTTCGATTCCTTTGTGCAATTTCAAGAATGGAATCTTGGCGCGCGAGCTTAAGTTGTTTTTTCCACCGCGCGTTGGGCTTTATTTAAATTTTAATTAATGAGGTAATGATCAAAGTTTTCTCTTCATTTGTATATGTTATGTTTTTTAGTTTTGAGAAGTTTTAAAATATATTTTTCCCCCAGGCAACACCGGGTACTTCCCGCTAGTTAGTTATAAACACAACGCTATTCGATCGCCGATAAACTGGAACTAAACAATGTAAGCAGGATGTGGCATCTGTCGTTCATGTGGGAAGAGCTCCGAGTGATTGCACATGGCCACGAGTGTGAAAAGTGGAGGCAATGGATTGCCCGATGTGTCACTAACACACAACAGACTACACAAGTAAACAGTGTCCTTCATCACAAAGTCTCTCATTGCAGAAACCTCAACGAATGCATCATCATAAGCCCGCAGTAGTTTTACTGGGCAATTCACCACGCTTGTCCGCACTGACTATTTATAGGACGTAAAATAGTTTTCAAAAATTACCGCATACATGCAAGAACTTGTTCAATATCATGGCATCCCAATACAAAAACAGGGATACGTATAACCACCTGCACACGATGGTGCCACAATCTCTTCTCCAGAGCTAGAAATGCCATTATTGCATAGGGTTGGCTGCTCAGATTTTCTTTCTCCATGTAAATTCTCGGTGCCTCTTCTCTCTCGTCTCATCTGTTGTCCCACATCTGTCCATCTCACCCTCGGTCTCCCTCTACTTCATCTGCACTTCACTGGTGTCCTGCATAGCTCTTCCAATTGCATCTTGTTTGTCTCTTTCAAAACTTGCCCAAACCATCTAAGTCCCGCCTCCCTTACTTTCTCGAGAATATTAATAATCCCGCTGGCTTAATTCTGCCTCCTTTTCCCTGAGACATATTCCCAACATACACACGTGCATTCTCATCTCCGCCCTTTCAATGGCACAATGTGGAATTTAAAACAAGACGCAGTTCCTTCAGACACCTCCATGGCAAACATTTTCAACACTGTGCTAGGCACCCAGTGAGAACCAGCATCAGCCGAAAACACCCAAGGGTGCGATGGCTCACGCGATTTGCTGCTCTGCCAAACTTGTTTCTTATACTGTGCACAAGGCGATTCCTAAATTGGTTTCAATTATGGTACATTCCAACTGGGGCGGAACGGTGGTGCTAAGGTAAAGCAAACTGCTCTTTGAACCGGGCCCTTGTGCCTTTGAATTCTGGCCACAGCTAACCTCAGTGCCGAGTGATACCAGAACAGGTTCTGGGTCCTCCTAAATTCACCGATCAGCGTGGTGAGCCGGAGGACTTTGGGAGGCCCTCATCCAGCTAACAAAAGGGTTGCACGTGTACAAGTGCACAGTATATTACACATGCATGTACTGTATACAAAACACCAAACCTTGATGATTGCTGTAAAGCGCTGTGTAGTAATGTGTTTATAGATGTTTGAGAAATGAATAATGTGAAAGTTTGAGGCTGGAGGTCTCCAGACGTTTAAATAAACATTTGTGTCCGACTGATGTACGTCTTTATAAACATAGATTCAATTCTATATAAGCGGTGTATATTTTTCTTGCAATGTGCAGAAAGCCACAACACATTCGGGAAATAAAACAGCATATAACAGGGACAGATGCAGAATTTACACACCCAAATGACAATGTGATAGTGAAACAAACTGTCAGTAAGTACTGTAGCATGCGCTTTTACTAGTCTAAATGTCATGCTGGAAAACATGACAAAAGTATTCTTAAAAGGTTTGTGTGAAGTGAGATTACATCACACACAAACAACTTTACTGTTTTCATACAAAACACACAAACGGGGAAGATGTGTAACGTATAAACAGTACTTTGAATAGACTGAGAATAGGAATATATTTGCAATGTTTGTAAAGACCCCTGGCTTGGTAACGAACCACATTTTTTCCCTTTCCCCAATTGTGCTGCCGGCCCCAATGTCATGGGGTGTTAGAAATGTCAACGTGGAGCTAGCAGAAACAAGTGTGACATCATCACCTGCTAGAAAACAGCCTCTGGAAGGTGACATCATAAACAAAGTTTGAGTCCATTTAAATTACTCATGTATACCAGATGGTACACATTCTGACACAACTGGCATTTTTATTATGTACTGGGCATTTTTAATGTAGTCGTTGGTGACGGGGCTAAAACCAACAATTGGATACGCGTGTAAAACCGGTTTAATTGACTGTTTGAAACTCCGATCTGAACCTGCAGAAGTGTTGGCCGAGTGCTTTGACATCACATTGGGTCCCTGCTGCTGGTGTGGATAAAAGGTCGGTTCGAATGACTTCAGAAGTAGTTGTGCAACATCTAATTTGTGTACACTACAATGTAAATGTGTACACAGTGGTTGACCTTAAAATACGAGCAGCGGATGTACTCATGCACATTTGAATTGGTGGAAAGTTGTGATCCTTTTTGGGGAATTAGGCCATGCAAGACCCCCAAATATAAATGTATGAATTAAAATATGAATGTATTAATTAAAATGTAGATGTATTAACCTCAAGAAAAGATGCCGGGCCAGACTATGGCCAATACATCATAAAGGGCCTACAAAAAAATGCACTTTACATGTCAGTTGGGTATATACACCTTGGTTCACTGCGATTTTGTGCCAAGGCAACCACAATTATTATTTACCTATTTGGGTTGTATAGATGTTGTGCATGGGATCAAACCTTTATAACGGATAAGAAACCCATCCTAACAGGATACACATGCAGGCTGAAAAACTATAAGTTTTAACAAACAGTTGCAAAAAGCTGTAAAACATACACCGCTTTGGTGCATTTGCAAGAAGTGCGTAGTGGTCCCGTTGTGTTAGGTCAACATCAGCAGTACTGCAGTGATAAGACAATTGTCCCCGTGAGGCCTCATCAGCACTGTGGTCACAACGTTCACTGCCACAGTGGGGCTCGTTCATGCCAGAAATGGTAATAATTAAATGTAGGAAATTACAGAATAACTTAATAAAGGCTGGACACTTGCAGCTTGGTATAAATGAGCAAAGCAAACAAAAGATAGAACACATTTCCTCAACATTTTCCAGGTCACTGTTGCAAATTACACTACCCTGGTGTCTTGAGATCTCATCTGGTAAAAAAAATAAAGTTGAAATATTAACTAAACAATTGAAAATAGGACGTTCGCCGAGGAGACTGAGGAGGCTGAGCCACGAGATCGGATTGTGTGCAGGTCCTGGGTGGAATGTTACGTCCAAGGACTCCCGCGATCAACCGAGGTGTCTTTGGGTGGCATTCGCCTATTAGTGGAACTGCATGGACACATACACTACACGACTCACCCACCCAGACTGCACATCTGTTAAAAAAAACAGCTTGAGAGCTCATCTGATTCCTCCAGTCTAAATAAAGATTCTGATACTCCTCACAAAACATTATCAGCCTCACCCCCAATCTCACTGTAGACATAAACCAACACTTTGTGTATATATATAAAACCTTTCATGGTTTTTATTATCAGCCATTGACAATCCACTGCTGGATGCAGGCCTCCCCAAGCCACCACCATCTCTCCCATCATTATGCGATGGAGACACCCCACCTAGCACCTGCATGGTGGACATAGTCTCAGACACATTCCATTGCTTATTCTTTGGTTCTTTCGGTAAAGTCACGTAGGCACAAAATAAAATGCATCACGACGTTTCGGGCGAAACACAAGCGTCCATCACCCATTGCTTAGTTGTGAGTCCATCACTCGATTCTTGATCATTGGCCAGCATTACTTTTAGGGATGTGTTCTAAGGCCCCTTTCCTTAACAGTATTAATTATGTCTTTAACCCGTCTTTGATTTATGATCCATGCGTTCCTCATTCTGTCTCTGAATGCAATTCCAAGCAGGAACCTCTCTCTGCCTGCTTCTTTGCACACTTCTAAGCTTTCGCTGAATGTTATGTCAATGTCCATGTCGTCGCTTTTCATGATCAAGTTCAGTTTAACACAAGCACTCCATGCTATCTGCTCCGATTCGCCCCGTCACTTCATTTGTGTAAGACTCATCACACGCAATTGTGTTGCACTCCAAACACAACATTACAGGAAATCAATCACATTGTTAACAAATGTTGGTCTTTGTTGTTGAATACACATCTGACCAGGACTAAAACATGTGAGCCGGGAACCCCTTATGTTTCTCCTCTGGTGATTACATGTCATCATAAAGGTTGCACAAGTGTAAACAATGTAGGGGCGGCGAGCGTGTGGTCTGCCTGGTGCCGTGGTGAGCACATCGCCCTGGCCACGACCGTCGGCCTGCGGTGGGTGGGGAAGCCTCGGCGTGGCCTAGTCGCGCTGCCCGAGGCCACTCACCCACTCCAGCAGCTTGATGAAGCCCAGAGGCTCCCGGACGACGCCGAAGAACGAGCTGGCAGACTGTGCAACGGGGAAACACACGCAACGCACGCAAATGTTACATCGACAACAGCAGACGTTGTTGTTGTTGTTGTTATTAACGCAAACGCGAGGCGGCCGGCAAGAATTAAACTCAAGTTAAATAAGTTGGGCCAAGTTTCGCGGTTATCGCGAGATGGCGACGACGCCTCCCGACGGCCTTCGTGCAGCAGTGGATGGACCATGGCCTCGCTGCCGACGATGTGAACGAGAGGGTTGGGTTCGCGTCGCCCCCTTAGCCAGCAGTGGATCGAGCACGGCTGAGGGGGGGCCGGGGCGCGGGGCGAAAGGGAGAGGACGCAGCCCCAGCAGTAGTAGCAGTAATAGCAGCAGTAGTAGCAGCAGTAATAGCAGCAGTAATAGCAGCAGTAGTAGCAGCAGCAGTAATAGCAGCAGTAGTAGCAGCAGTAATAGCAGCAGTAGTAGCAGCAGTAATAGCAGCAGTAGTAGCAGCAGCAGTAATAGCAGCAGCAGTAGCAGCAGTAATAGCAGCAGTAGTAGCAGCAGTAATAGCAGCAGTAGTAGCAGCAGCAGTAATAGCAGCAGTAGCAGCACCAGTAGTAGCAGTAGTAGCAGCAGTAATAGCAGCAGTAGCAGCAGCAGTAATAGCAGCAGTAGCAGCAGCAGTAGTAGCAGTAGTAGCAGCAGTAATAGCAGCAGTAGCAGCAGCAGTAATAGCAGCAGTAGCAGCAGCAGTAGTAGCAGTAGTAGCAGCAGCAGTAGCAGCGACAGCCCCAGCAGTAGCAGCAGCAGTAATAGCAGCAGTAGTAGCAGCAGTAATAGCAGCAGTAGTAGCAGCAGTAATAGCAGCAGTAGTAGCAGCAGTAGTAGCCCCGCACCTGAGCGGCGTCCATGGCTGTGGCGGTGAAGGCGGAAGAGTGGCGAGCGCGCGCGCGAGGAGGGCGTGGTGAGCGCCGGGCAGATGCGGGCGGTCAGACACCACGCGGCGCGGGTCGGTTGCGGTGTTACACTTTTCTCTGTGGAATCTCTCGGCAGTGTAGGGGGCCGTCCATAAATGACGTCACGCGATTTTGGACGATTTTTGACCCCCCCCCTTTGTCACACAAAGTCAGACCCCCCCCCTCAAATATGACGTCACAAAGCTCTGCCCCCCCCCCCCCAATAATAAAACATGCTTCAAATCGCTTTAAACTATTGTCATTGTAGTGCGTATTTAATGTGGCGCTGCACTCTGATGTTGTAGGATAAAACATTTATTAAAACGTTTATTTAATTAAGTAGAACGTGTTGTCTATATTTATTTAAAGTTGCGCATTTTGATGTGACGTCACATTTCTCACCCCCCCCCCCTCGTCACACATCGTCACTAATGTCTGACCCCCCCCCCCCAGGTGCATGACGTCAGTTATGGACTGCCCCTTGGTCTTTTTTTTTAGGTTTTTTAAAGTTCATTTATTAGGTATAGCCCTGTGAGTCATTCGGCTCTTGAATCGGGTGCAACCGCAACAAACAAAAAACAAAAACATGAACAATAAAACATCTTAAAGTGAATATGTGACTAAGTGCAAACAGAAAATCCAAGAAAAGACAGCAAAATATTGCAGAAAAAAGCACCGTACACCAACGCTGTGTGCAAAAATCCCAGTGGGATGCAAGTCAAACAACAACAACAACCACAAGACAACTTAGATTAAGGCCATCAGTCTAACTCTGTACTACAACAAACAAACATGGCTAAACCAATACACTTTTCGAAATCACCAAAATAAAGCCATGAAAGCAATGAAAAATCAATCATATAAACTGTGACGGAATTTTCACAATAAATGGCATAAACAACATGTACTACCAAAACCCTGCAGCCATAGCTGGCTGCATGAGTCACTCCACAACAGCAGGAGCAGTGCAGAACGGAGCAGTGTAGATCTGTGCAGTGTAGATCTGTGCGTTCCAGTGCAGATCCTGGCATTGTAATGCAGATGTTGTCAAATCCGTACGTCCACAAGGCGGCGGTGGGTGCAGTGTGATGCAGCAAGTTCATATCGGGGCCTTCCACAGTCCGTGTTCATTTCACAACGACGGTGCAGCTTGGGCCAGGGCGCTGCACTGTGCAGTGGCGTGCAGTGCAGATCAGTGCGTGACATTGCGGTTGTTCCAATGTTGTTGAAGCGGTTGTGCTTTCGCTACGTTGTCCCCACCTGAAGAAGGAGGCTTGTGTTGCGCCCGAAACGTCGTGATTTAAATACGTTTTCATTTATTTAATTAAAAATTTACCTACGTGACTTTATCGAAAGAACCGAAGAGTATCTGTGATACTGGCGTTGTACAACACCTCTACTGTCGATCCACTGCTGGATGAGGGCCTCGCCACGCCGTGTGGGTCACTTGACCATACTTCACCAATTTGGTTATTGCGGATCTGTGAAGCGGAGGTGCATGGATGTTGGAACGCGTAGCACAGTACCGTACAACACAACAATTACTTGTTTTTTGCTGCACTGCCCACTGTTGTTCATCTGTGAACTCCTGGACGCCTCTGAAAAAGAGCTTGAGAGCTCATCGGATTCATCCAGTGTCAATATGCTGATTCTGATGTTGACAACGGAGCCCCCAATCCAAGTGTGCCGAAAAAAATCAATCGTTTCCACGTCACAGGTTTCACCTCTACGACTGCGTGGATAAAGTGCTCTAGAATATTCTAGAATGCCACGGGAGGCTGCAGACCGAGGTGTCGTGGTGTCACCGCAATGCCGGAGCATGGCCATTGTGAGTTTATATTTACAGCACAGCAGAAGGTGGACCACATGTGTTGTGACCCCCAATTAAATGACCCCTTACATTTGTTTTGCCCTTTGCACGATGTTCATTACTGTTTTAAATACACCTTTCAAAAATATAAACGTTTCGGAGGATTACATCGGGGTCGCAAGACATCTGGACCACCTTACAATGCTTAGAAATTATCGCCACGGGTCGCAATCCGAAGAGTTTCAGATCTCTCCCGGCGCGCGCAGTTCGACGGGCACAACACGGCTCGGTGGCTACGTACGGTGCGAAAGAAGTTCAACACACAAGACGAGGGGCGTGTGGCGGGGTGAAGCGTGGGTGCTCTCGACTCTCCCAAGACGTCTCTGCAGCGTGGAAGTGTAGGCCAAATACACTCAGGAGGAGACTCTCTCCCGTCTAGGGGGGGGGGGGGCTCTTGTACAGCAGCAGTGGCGTGGGGAAGACCATGAGAAGGACTCCACCGCGACCTTGTGTGTCGCTCGTCCATCGCCTGCGAGCAGATCACTCGGAACGTGCCCGATCTCGTGAAAACATCGCAATTAGACCCACGCCGAAACGTAACATATAAAAAATTATGTTTTCAAATATATAAAAAAAATTATGATAGAATATAGTATTGTTTTCAGTTTTGACATAAGTATGCCACGTTTGTAGTCGATACCACATTGGGAAGTGGTTTACAATTGAGTTACAAGATTTGAGGATACAACAACGACAACAACAACGACAACAACAACAGAGTGAGTTAAATTAAAGCGTGTAAAAATAATCCCAACCGAGAAAATCCACGTCTCTCTGCCTGTGTGCATCAGCGGCGATTTCCACTGGGGGGCATCTGTTCACTGCAAGTCGGAGCACAGTTGGTGACAACTTTTTCACGAGCCATTGGAAAGTGTGGCAAGAGCGCACGATTATGATCGATGGTACTTCATAAAACCCCATCGCAGTCAAGTTGAAATTGTATTAAACAATTGAGACATTGCTGTGAACGTTCCTGGCATCGGAATCAGGGAAATATGCTGTTTCACAGCTCGGTCTAATTTTTCCCATCTTCTCACTAAACCCCACACGAGTGTGAGTCCTGCTCCATGCCAATAGTGGTGTGAAGGCAGGGTTGATGGATCACACAGAGATGGAATCCCCATGCCGTCTATGAGTATTGAGACACCTGTAGGAGATGGTACAGTACGTATCTCTCTGATGCAAGAAAGTCATCTTATTGCATGCATGGCTTTTTCTCTGAGGATGGCAATTTCCACCACATATTAGACTTTCTAAACACATATCAAACTTTATATAAAAAAAAATCGTTCTGAGCCTCAACAAAGCCTGCATGGGATAGTATGATTATGTATGCACTGTTATACTATTCTCGAGTATCGTATTGTAATGCGGTACGTGACATATCTGACCGTCACACACCCACCAGGAGCATTTAACCACCCACACCCAATACAGTATTCGTGCTCTGCGGTGAAACTTCCATTTTCTCGTGATGTTCACATACTTGGCCTTTCTACATATCGGGCTGTACCTCAGTCTCCAGAGAATGGGACATTGTGATGTTGTGCCGTATTATCCAGTGCTCCCAGTGAGGTGCCGTGCGTTGTATTCCTGCAATAGATATGTAGAACGCTTTGGCAGTCTACTGCTGGATGAAGGCATCACCATTTCGCAATATCGGCCAGTGTGAGGTGATGAAGGGGTAGTGGCAGGGCTGCTTCAGATAACCCTTGTCACGAATTTTATCCACGGCCCAGATTCATAGCGTAGTAGTGTGCTAACCACTACCCACCACCGCCCCTCATTTTACTGGATGATGCCATAAAGTAAATTCACAATAGCACACGGATAAAGACAACGGTCGTGGTTATATGCGGACTCATAGAGAAATGAACAGCCAATCAGCCACTTCAGGAGCATAGCTAGAACCTACGATGAGCACGGTTGGTTATGTGCGGTGCGAAAGAAGTTCAACGTACAGCTACTGAATGAGGGCCCACGGGCTGGAAGGGTCTCAGGCGCCGGGCTATTGGACAGGGGGCCCCGTGTTGATTCCCTGTGCACCAGGGCCCATGCCAAGCCCACGACCACCACTACACCACTGGGCCACTTTCAATCGCCATGCCCCCACATGCACCCACCCAGCCGCTCGCTCGCACCGATCATTCCTCTCCCCTGTTGGCGCGGCGAGCTCACACGCGTGCCCTTAAGCTGCACACAGTCGGTACGGCCAGAGGGAATTTCCACATACCTTGCAAAACACAAGCATTGGCAAACACAGCCCCGCTTTGAACTTTTTTTACGGAGTTGCAAAATGAGTGTTTGCTCGGCTTGTCTGTGCGCAGCCGGTGGCCGCGCTTGAAGTTTCACTCGCTGGATTTCCACAGGTGGATGTGTGTGTGTGTGGGCTCGTTGTGGCCGTGGGGTAACAGCAAGCCAGGGTCCGACGGTTTGACTCCCACCTCCGCACAAACGGTAGCGGTGGCGCACGTATCGAGTGTGCAGGCGGTGCAACTGCTCCGGCGCCAAAGAGGCGTCGAAGATTTGGGGTCAATTGAAAAAGTTGGTGAGACGCCTTGCACAGGGGTCCAGGACAATCGGGCTACGCCACTGAACAATAGAAGCGTGACAATAAAACGATTCGGGTTTGCGTGGCCCGTGCAGTTGGCTGAAGTGGAGCTGGCAGAGGGTACATTCACTACTCGGTACCCAGTGGAGTGACAATGCATCGAATCAGTGGGGAGGGGAGGATGATTACTTAGTTCCTGTTTGGCAAGTGAATCGATGTGTCTGCTGTATCGAACTCTCGCAGAAAGTCGACCGCAGAGAGGTCTGTTACAGAATTACTTCTGAGATCCACTAATAGGGTTGCACGAAACAATGCACCCTGCTGTCGAGATGTTATATTCACATGGCAGTCAATCCAACAATTTAGTTTTCAAAATTCTGAAAGGCACAGTATTCTATCTTTTAAAACAAAAATGCATCACCCGGCCCAGAAGATTATTTCACAGATCTACCTCTGAAGTGACTTTTGTTGACCTCTTCATCTATACTGCAACCACACCCTGCATACGTGTTCAACACATAAAAACAACTAAAAGGAAGCTAAATTCGTTAATAGACAATCAACCGTCTATACTTGAGAGCCCAATTTCATCTCAGCTCAGCGCACTGACACCTGACCCACCCGGCCTCCTCGACGCATATTTAGAGTTGGGGCATTTGGAG